AACCCCTTGTTATGCTCGTAGACTGATACATTCCTACAGCACCACGCTGCTGAAAAACAAAGTGCATGTTGGGAGACGAGAACAAGCGTGTGATTGAAGGAACGGGGGATTGAAGAGGGAAAAAAAGTTATAGCAAGGAGGACTATAAAAACCGAGAAATAGATATGGCTATAGGGTCGAATGCGGTCAATTATCTATGAACAGGGTTTCCCTGCTTGTTAAACTCTTCACAGCGCTACAGTGCTCTCCCCAAAAAATGCCAAATATGCAGTACTGCAGTTTTTTTCTCTTTTGCAAGACTTTTGAACAAGTTCCAGTTGGGTCCGATCCTTGCTTATATTCTCTGACGGCATACTGTACAAGCATAGTTCTCTCTCTACTGTACTTCAACATTGAGTTTTTAAACTATTGCCTGTGTTAGAGATATTCCCATCAACATCCAATCATTTCCTCAAGATGGTGACTAGTCTCCGAATGTAATGATCTGCAATCCATTGCTATGTTATCATATATGCAAGTTTGGTGCTTTCCATAACGTGACCTTACTGTAGTCACATAGCGTCAAACCCATGAAGGAAATATTTCTTTTCACCCTTTGTCTTGTAACTAACCGAAGCATGTACAATCTGCATTCATCAAACAGAGTCTGAAGCTTGTAATTTATTGGCCACTAGCACCAATAATCACTCAAAATGTACTGATGGCTGCCACTTGGAAGCCGTTACACATTATTGGTGTCCAGTTGATTTTCCATGAGTGAAAGTTGGCAGGGTTTTTGCTGGCTGATTCAACATCTTAAAACCTAGCAGAGCTCGCTGTCAGCATCCTTGTTGATTTTTCTAAAGTCGCATGGCTTGCAAAGCAGCTGGGCTCTTACAAGAGAACGCTAGCTTACAGAACCATTTTGTGTTTTTCCTCATAAAAGTAGTGCAGCAAATTCAGCAGATCACTATAGATTTCAAATCAAAAGTGGTAGTTGTGGTGCTTGAAGTTTATTAGCTGACTTTTTTTGTATAGGCAGGTGGATAGATAGTGACAGTACTTTTGTTTCTTTAGAGAAAGAGTCCTTTTCTCAGTTTTAGTCATGTTCTTGAGCTACCTTAGCCTTGATCAAGAATTGTGGGTTCAATTGGTTGATGTCTGTGAAGCTGCACTAGTGCGGCAAACTGTAGTTCTTGTCATTTCTAAAGTATAAGCAGCCAAACCAGTCACTCAAATTAATTGTTAATATTCATAAGTCAGTCTTGAAAAATGACACCATTTGTTGATTGTACCTCTTATTTGAATGCTATCTATCACAGTGCATCCCAACCAAACTGTAATCTCGCTTTAACGTTGTCATGCTGTAGCGTGGTTAATTCTAAATTCTCTACATCCGTGTCGCATCACATTTCATAGAATTTGTAACAGCCCACTAAAGGTTAATTGACTTTTTAAAGAATGTATGCAGGTCGCTTTACCAGCAGAAGCTGACACTGAAATAAACAGCATGTCTCACTCAGTGGTAAGTGGTGATAGGGATTACAATTGTAGGCTTGTTTGAAACCTTTGTGTGGACATGAAGGGAGCCATTACATCCGCCACATAACCCACATTACATGTTTGTAACATAAAAGCAGGCGAGGAAAACCCCCATCAGAGGTGTGTTGTGTGCTCTTTGTTAACATGTCGTGATAAACCAGAGCTGTGTACTGATATTTTGAGGCAGCACTTGAGTAAAGAAGATTGAATGTTTTGTGGTACACACAACAAATACAAATTCAGCGATTTCTTTATTGAAAAGTCTCATTTATTTTCAGTAGTTTCTATTTCACATGACTCAGTGACTTTAAATTAATGCAGCATTGTATATCTACACTGGACAAGTAGGACACAACTCTGTTTATGTGATTTTAGACTAAATCATATAAACATTTGAATACAATTGTAGCATTTTTTTGGGAAAAGAGCCATGCATTTTTTCAATAGCTTCAATTTCATGTGACTTCAATCAATTCAGCATTGTATTTCTACATTTGGGGGGGGGGGGATTTTATTGGATTTTAATACAATAATTGTTTGAATATTTTAAATGAGAATCTTGTTGAAATATTGAAAAACAAATTGTATTCTGAAAATGTTTTGTTATTATAGGGCTTCACTTTAAAATCATTTTGTTACATAGTTACACTTATCAATAATGTGATCTGCCTCAGGTTATAATATATAATACAATGCTTTGAACATATATAATATATGTTTTAATCTCTATGTTCTGGTGCCTGTTTTAGGGATGGGTTCAGGGTAGCTGATCTGGAACACTATACCTTGGTGGCGGCATGCAGGGCATGGAGATATGGAGAAAATCAAATATCACAATATTTTTGACCAAATACCTTGATATCGCTATTACAGAAATATTGTAGGGTTGATCATTGGTGTTTTCAACAAATATACACAGTAACATGTTTTGATAAATAATCATCATTAATGTGGATATAATAACAAATCTGCTTTTGGCAAATAATACAACAGTTTAAACCGTCTTCAGCATATGACTCTATAACCCTTTACTGAAATGAGTCCTTTTAAAATCAAGAAAAGTCAACAGTTGTACCATAATACGGTGTCTGAAATCGAATGCGATATCTAGTCTCATATCACGATATTGATTGAATATTGATGTACATGTGTTTCCTGGCCTTACCAGCGTGTTTTATTACTGGAAGACAGTTGCGCAACAGGCTGGAGTCATGACTGACAGGGTCAAATGGTCCAGAGCATGGCTTCCTTTAATTAAGAAAGATGACAGTGCTGCTGTGTCTATGAACTTTTTTCAAGTAAGTCTGGAAACACCAGCAAATTGTTTCCACTGGTAATGTTAAGTTTTGGCAGGCTACAGAAAAACCTTGCTGTCTCAGCAAAGAAGGTACTGTATCGTTGAAAACTGAAGGACTTGGTTGACTCTGCAAGGACACATTTTATCTGCAAAATAGTCCTTCACAGAGCATTTATTTTGTGAACAGTCATCCATGTTGTGTTATCCGTGGCCTTTTCCTAAGTTAGAACACAAAGTGGTCAAGTACAGTACATCTAACTTATTTTCCTTCTCTCAGGTTATTGGGCTGGCGCCATGTGCAAATGTGGTTTGTTAATGAGCTAATGGCAACAAACATCTCATCTGTGTTTCTCTGTGTAACGGCGTGCCGTAGAGTCATCCACATTATTCATTCAGCAGTACTTTGGTCTTAGTGTTTACTGGTGAGTCGGCCCACCGAGCAGCACGGTGGCATCTGTGTTTTGGACCTGGCTTCGTATTTTGTTCTCGCTGTTGGCCCCCCACTTCCCTGGGATCTCAGGGTCTATTAATACCAGCTTGCTCTAAAAATACAGAGTACTGTGTGACCCACTGGGACTAAACAGGAGCTCGACCTCTTACCGTAGGCACACTGACATACACACACAGCGGTTATACATTCTGACCTGCATTGTAGTTGCTGCAATGTTTTCCTGGTATTCACACTGAAACCTGGAAATCAAATCATCCATGAACTTTCTTTAAATTCCTGGATAGTCATTTAACAAATATATGTAAGTTCCACATTAAACACATTAGTTTTGGCAAGATATAGTTAATCAAACCTTCAAGCCCAACTGAGAACAGGGAAGTTTGTTTCTGTTGATGTTAAAGGGTTGTAGCAGTGTTTGTTTGCCTGCTTTTGAGTGGATATTTACTAATCATCATGGCCCTAAATGACTTGGCTCTATACGTAAAAACCATGTGCTATGGATTTTAAACATCATTCAATTATTCCCCTAATTTGTTTGGGGCAGCAATTGGATGCAACTGGACAAAGTCCAACTGTTAAATTTAATTTTTTTCCCAAACAACTTCAAACTTCAAAAGAGAAAGGAGAACATTTTATGCAGAAACACATTTGTTTATTGGATAACGGCTAACCTTTGTGTTAACGTGTGCCCCGCTGATCTCTGCTTGTTAGACTTGGGACATGTAGCATTAAATGATTGATAAGTATCTCACAAAGTAAAACAATGAAATGTTCATCAGGGCATGAACATTATAATTCCAGGCCTCATAGTTTTGTTTCCAGTTTCTCAGCTGGCTCCACGTCTCATGGACTCAGGCTGACTTGTTGATCTAGAAGAATTCCTCCACGTCATCAAGAGGTGTCAGTTTGACTTGATTGTGACATTGTGCATATCAGGAACATTGGCAGTAATAAATTCTCATGAAAACACTTACTGTGGCATGCATGATGCTTCTGTTGTAGTAAGACGATAACTGTTTTTCTGCCTATTTGATAGTGATTGATTAAATATCTCTAGGGTTTCGAAATATTCAATTCACTATTGGTGTAAGTCTTTCTAGAAATGTCAATAAGCTGGTATCTATTTTCTATATTAAGGCTGTGTCATGTAAAACTGCTGCACAATACAGACTCCTATGGAGCATACAGAGGCTACTTTATAGGGCCTGAAAACCCATTTTCTTCAGCAGCAGCTTTTTAAATATGAGCAATTTGATCTGACATGAACTCTACATTTTAAAGTCTGTTTATTTCATTTTGGGCATATTGGCTAGCAATCTTAAAACTTGAAGAATGTTTCTAGTTTTAGGGGTTTGTGATTGAGTATAATAGCACAGCATCACGTTTTGCTGGCTCCAAAATGACCATCAAGTTGATTCAATTACAGCTTGTTGTGTGGTAATCTAGGCAGACTTTAATAGGATTGTGTTAGCGACAAGCTATGTTTGAGTGGAGCAATTAACCTGATTTTCTTTTAAGTATTATTTCTATACTATATTTCAATTACTATATTAGGCTTTGTCCCCTTGAGACACTATTTCTCCTGATGCTACTTTGCCCATTCTTTCGGATCTACGTGTTTACTATTAGGTGCACACATGCCTCTGTATGATACAGTTTAGAAACAGCGAAAGTTGTCAAATCATGTACCATCAATCGTGTTAAAGGATTTATTCCAGTCGTATTTACAGGGATACATACAGGGTTTTTTCTAGAAAAATATATAAAATATATCAATGCACACAAGAACATGTATAGAAGATGGCGCAGCAGACGTAAACAACAACGCAATGCAAATGCTGCCATCTGACAGCCTATTTGACACGATTTTCATATTCTTTTTAGTCATTATACAGTTTTTAACAAACAGAAATATTGTTTTCTGGCATCACTTTACATACATCTGATCAATTGTATTTAAGATTCTTCTTTTTCTTTTTGTTCAAACTGGCTTGGTGAAAAATGTAGGGGGGTGGGTGTGTGTGTGTAAGGGAATGTGAGAATTTCGCCCTTAAGGGACATTAAATTAATTTAATCAATTTTCCAACCTCTATTACATTTCGGAATAATTGCATAGCAGTCAGGTTGATTTGATTTAATTCATCATTCAAATGTCACCGTCATTAAGTACGGATCATTTCTAAAGCTTCAGGGCTAAATATCTTTTCAGACTTTCAGGCTTAAGTGGTGAGGATGTGATGAATAGGGATGACACCAATTAAGTTTAGTGTTGGTTCTTTATACGTGTATGAATAGTCAAAGTCTCCTTTATAATACAAAATAAATTAGAGCTAAACATGTATGTGCTGCTGTTCACCAACAACTATAAACCCCCTTGTCATTTATTTATTTTACCGCATTGAATCAAGGTGCAATCATTTTCTTAGGCTGATATACAAAGAGAACAACAAATCATCACAAATAGATGTACGATACAACGAGTAGTTCACACACAGTATGACGCAAGTCATCACCGGTGCAACCAGTTGTTTGGAAGAATTCCATAATACTTTGCATGGTGTTGATCTGTGTATCGTCAAGGTGTGACAAACCTGTGTTGGAAACATATTCATCATAATGGAAAGATGTGCCCTTAGATTCCTTCATTTGTTTATTAAAGTTTTTCATTTATACCCTGGATTAATATTCTAATAATAATGAAATGTCAGTGATTCCAAGTTACCCGCCTAATCTAAAAGAAACTCTAGTAAAACATTCTGTATAGTATTCTGCTATCTGAAATGCGCTGAAGCACTTTTGTCCAGATGTTGCAACTCAAATTGGGTCTTGAGATTCTTCCAAAGAAAATGATATTTGAACCCCGCAAACAGCTCTAAACAGAATGTCTTGGCCCCAATAGAGAAACCTGCTTTGTTTGAGACCTGTGGCTGCATAACGGCTCAGTTAACATTAATGCTCTAACCAAAAATTGCTAGTCACACCAGCATCTTGTCTAGCCACTATTTCAAAAGGTCACTGCAAAACCTTTAATACATGTTAAATTATTCATTAAAACCAGATTGGTTTGTTAAAATGTAAACCTAAAAAACACTCAAAACAAGGAAAAAGGCTTTTGCTTTAAGTCACTGTAATGTTCATTGTGGCTGATTGCTTAAATATAGGCTCCATTCACGTGGCAAGGAGTGGTATTCACTTTAAACTGGCCTATCTTTTTTAAACTGTCCACTCGAAGGTCAGCGCCTCACCATGTGATTAGTCTGCCTCCACTTTGTGTTACACAAAGCAAGTGAGTCACACTTTGTCAACAGCAGCGACGTCTGACTGTCCCTGTTTGAGTTAATGAGTGATGAAGGCCTAAGCCAACGAACAAGGCACCTTTCTGTGCTTACATGAGCCGCTGTTAGTTAATGACTAATTACAGCATTGTGTTTACCATTACCTGTCAAGGTGAGTGAGTGGTACAGACGCCCCTTGACATCGTTCAAGAATGGAAACCAGTGGAAATGTTTACAAGAGATCTGCATCATGTCAGTCAAATATCTTCGAACAGGCTGTGATGACTGTTTGGACAAACTATTGTTCACCAGCAACAGGTGTGGAATGGTCTTGTTGAGACCTGCTGTTTTAACGCTCTGTGCACAGACAGCTTCAGTGGGAGACGCACACTTGTGTACGGCTAGTTTGCAGACTGCACACAAATTCTCCGACGCACCGAGAAGCACACCCAAGTTGCAAAGGTTAAAATCAGAAGCTTGGGGTTATGGACACAGGCAGGTGGTGGTGTCGAGAGGGCGTCAGCTTGCAAGCTATGGACTTGAACCCAGAATGAAGCCTCATGTGGTGGAAACTGTCAATGTTGAGCTTGAATCCTGCTTAGTTTTGTTTTTTATTCCCCAAAATGACCAGTACAGCTTCAAGTAGATATGTAAGATCTAAGGCCTCGTCATCTGGGCTATTCAAACTCAGTCAAGTACATAAAAACAAATGTTGACAAACTCATACGTTTTGGTGGAAGTCTAAACTGAAATCTGTCATAAACAGGTTGTTAGTTTTTGCCTGTTAGTGCTTACACTCAAAGTGTGTGTCTGTCTGCGTGAGGAGGGAGAGACAGGTATTGCTACAGACTGTGTTGTGGAATGTGTGGTGGAGTTTTTGTGGTTTGCAAAGTGTTTGGCAGGGGGAGGGACCTGACACGCTGCTGAGCTACTTCTGAGCTGCAGGTCCCTCCCCCCCCCCTCCACCAGCTCAGTCTGTGCTCTGTTCCCTTAAAGGAATAGTTACCTCACAGCGGCCCTGCTGTCTTATCAATCTTTTGGCTTCTCGTCTCTGCTGATGAAGTTGATGTTGACCCACGGGGCTGAGGACACACACACTGACAGATAGTGCTGACTGTAGAGGTTGCTATCTGGCTCCACTGATGATATTACCCTCCTGTCCTCCAGGTCCATGTGTGGTCAGTGAAGCCTGGAGAGCAGCATGGAAAAGTGTCAGTTGAGCGCCTGGTTGAGATGAGGTGAGTGAACAGGCCTAACCTGGAACCAGAGTGTCACCCACCCACTTACTGTGGGCGTGATATGGGGATTAAAAAAAACAAAAACGTATACAGTTGTCATATTTTGTATTGCTCCCAAATGAGGCATTGTAGAGACATTATCTGAATGTGTCATTTAAATGTATCACAAAAGGAGGTTGTGGTTAAAAAAATGGTAGCAATCCAGATTAGTAAAGGAGCACAACGTATGATCCAAGCCAAATAAGTGAAATGTTAGTAATCCTTGACTTGGACCTTTGAAATGTGGGACATGCTACATTTTCACAATTTTTTTTTTTTCAAATTTCTCTCTTAACTTTAGATTTTTTGTCTGAAATACTGATGTTTTTTTTCTTCTCTCCATCAGTGTCGCCTGTTCACCATGTGAGCTCCACTGACAAACCGCTTTCTCCACACCAGACCTCAACCGCAATCACCAGCCAATCAAATGCACCCGGACAATAAACTGGCCAATCATGGCAAGCAGGTCACCAGTGACAACCAATCCCGAATACCCAGTGTAAACCAGCAGGCCCAGCAGCAGCAGCAGCAGGGAGCCGCCGGCCACTTGGGTCCAAAGGGCGTTGGTCCCGGGAACCATGGAGTCAAAACCAACCAGATTTCCCCCGGCAACCCTGGGCTGAAAGCAGTCAGCCAATCAGTAAGCAGCGTCGGAGGGATGTTGAAAACCAAATCCAAGCGGGAGCGGAGTGTCTCCATGGACTCTGGTGATTCCCGAAGTGCAGTTCCTCCAGCCCTTGAGACGGATGCCAAAGGAGGTAAGGCATGCGCACACAAAACTGTGTCAGAGTCCGGGACATATAGACAGTGCGTCTGTGTTCTAAGTATGCAGCAGTTCACTTCCTCTACCTTCCTATCAGCTAAATCTTTACCCGAAATACCAGATTACGAGCATTCACCTCCTCCACAGCAGGAAGTGAATGTAAGGACTGAGAGAGTAACTTGTTTTCTCTCTTGCTGAAATGCCCCGACCTTTCAGTGAAGCGTCAGAATTTCCCCCTGGCTTTTGATACCTTGCGCCCTGCCTGCGCTGCAGTGACGTGTCCCAGATGAAAAGGCATCTGGGCCTCCTGTAGTGCTCAGACGGGTCATGAGGTCACCAAAATTTAGTAAGCCTAGAGAGGTTGTTTTTAAGCAGAAACATTGAGTGAGTGGGCGGGGGAGGTTTTGTTGTGTGAGTGTCTTGGTAAATATGATTGATCATGTGGTTCAGTACACAATCTTTGATTGGTGTTGCTTATTTAAGTGTTCCTGTAAGTGATTGATGCAGAGGAAAATTAGATTTTTGTAAAACTCTTTAGGGCTTCCTGTACACGACTTGAATCTCATTAAACACACACCGACTAGCACACACACTCAGGTGTGGTTCTAATACAAAGAGGGACAGAGGCAAAAATTGTGAGAAAATAGGACTCCATGTGACCTCCATACACACACAAAGACACACACCGCTTTTGTTCTCATTCCCTTTTATTACATTTTACACAAAATGCATTTAAATGAAACGTAAGCCTCTCTTCTCTCTCCTTCAAATCACTACGCCACCAAACCTGGAAACTTGTATAGTGATGAATAGTCTTAGCACACTGTTAAGTTTCTCCTTGAAAGAAATGCCTAACCCTTACTCACCCTGTGCTACCTTGAATCCTTGATAAAAATGTTGTTTTTCTCGCATGCCTCCACAGTGAACAGAGAATCCAGAAAGCAGAAAAAATAAAACGTATATATTTTTCTAGAAAAAACCCTGTATGTATCCCTGTAAATACGACTGTAATAAATCCTTTAAAAACTTAAAGGGGCCCTACTCTGCTATTTTGGGTACTTTTCCTTTAGTGTATTATATGGGTTTTTGTGCATGTTAATGGTCTGCAAAGCCCCCCACCCCCTCCCTATGAGCCCAGTGTGCTCTGATTGGTCAGCTCGCCCATTCTGTTCTGATGAGTCCACCACCGTTACAGCGGAACATCAGTGATTATATGTTACAATGGCGTTAGCAACCAGAAAATGACACCAGTAAGGACAAACAGATGAGAATGCTGCGTGGGGTCTGGGTGCCGTGTTGGCGGGACGTTGCGGGGCTCACTGCTGCGCGAGGAGCGGACAGTGTGAGCTGGATTACTGGTGTCGTTTCCTGGTTGCTGCGTAGGGTCTGCGAGACAGCGAGACACAGCGAAACTCAGCCTGAACTCAGCCTGAGCACACACACACACTCGTAGCCTGGCTGAGTTTGTGTGTGTGCTCAGCCTGAGTTCAGGCTGAGTTTCGCTGTGTCTCGCTGTCTCAGGCTGAGTTTCGCTGTGTCTCGCTGTCTCAGGCTGAGTTTCGCTGTGTCTCGCTGTCTCAGGCTGAGTTCAGGCTGAGAAATCCGTGTTAGAGTTTTACTCGCTACAGGGTGTACTTTGAGGGTTTGTGACTCTGCAGACCGTTTACATGCATAAAAAGCTACATAACACACAAGGGGACGGGTAATAACCGGAAAAGAATGACATGGGACCTTTAAACATGTCACAGTAGAGTCACAAAATACAATTATGAACCTAAAATTAAGCACAATAGGGCCCCTTTAAATCCTTGATGAAATAAAGTAATTGGGGCCCAGTTAAACGCCAGACACACATCGAATCTTGTGCTCACACAAACTGAAACGCATTTACTATTGTGCACTACGTGTCTCAAGATTTCGCTGATGCTCTTAGAGTCTGAGCATGAACCTGTAAGTGTTCACTTCAATTCATCAAGATTTATCAAGGATCTACACTATTTATTGAATTTCATTGTTCATCCTTGTAGGCAAGTGAGAAAAAACTATTTTCTGTAAGAATTCTGCCTTACACAGGAGTTATTAATATTCAAATAGTCATTTTAAGGTGAAGTTTTCCTTTAAACCGGTAACCGCTGGTAACAAAAATGTCAACAGAAGACGAGGTCAGCTCTTTTTACTCTGCCTTTCTGTGTCAAGGCAGCAGCCTTCCTTCTGCTGTCCTTGTCTCTATATTGTCACTGCACACTTCCTTCCTTCCTTAATGTACATTCATTCACACACGCATTCTACTAGGCCTGTGGTTACCCAAGCTCATCTGATGTGTTTATTGGAAGGTACTTTTTCTGCCACAGAGTCAGTAAGATGTTGAGTAATGAACCTGAAAAGTGTTCACTGTCCTGTTTATAGAGATTCTCTTAATATGTGACAGTATAGGGATGTTACCAAAGTAGCTTTTCTCTCCAGTCCCCATATGGAGTTTAAACTCAACGTTGTATTATCTGTCAGAAGTTGGTGTTGCCTCTTTACTGCAGGTTACCTTCTGGAAATGTTAAAGCTGCCACATATTTCCTGCAGCTGTTTGCACTCTCTGGCCAACAGCACCTTGTGCATCCACAAAATCCTAATTACACCATGTGAGCACGCTCGTGTCATGCTTCTCAATACATTGCATGTGCAGATGTGATTAGCATGTATAGCCATTTGTTGCGAAAATACAATTAAAATGTTTACAGAGACGAGCAGAGGTTAAAGATGCAGCTGTAAGCCAGGATCCTATAACTTCCATAGAGTAAGGCAAACTGCATTAGAGATAATAGTACAGCTCTGGATAATACAGTGGTGGTTGAGTTTAGGCCATCAGTGGTGAATGATAAAAAGATTATACCCTTTTTAAAGGGTCAATACTGTGAGAGTTGTTGTTGACATGTGTGTCTTATCCTCTAGAGGGTGTGATGCGCAGTAAGCGGCGCTGTGTTCTGGAGAAGAAGCAGCCATATAGTGGAGATGAATGGTGCTCTGGACCCGACACAGAAGAAGATGAAGACAAGCCACACACTGCGACGCACCGTGAGTCCATCCATCTGTACAGAGGAGGAAACCCATAGCTGTTGTCTTAATTTAGAACGATGATCTCAATGGGATTCACCTGGTTAAATAAAGGTTTGAAATGAAATTGAAGAACAGTCATCCCTAGTAATAGTGTCAATGTAAACATTACATGTAGAAATCCCCATGCCTTTCTTCTTTTCATTTTTTCTGAAAACCGTTAGCTAGCCACAACTGTTTTCAGCTCCTGTACATAAACTCAAAAGGGAGATAGTGTCAGCATCTGCCATACTGCTCCTTTCCACTGATTTGACTTTACATGTGTTTTAGCTCCATCTAGTGTTAAGATGTTGAAGCCAAAGTGATACTGGTATTACATATAAACCATAATACCAATGTAGGCCATTTAAACCTAGAGGGATCCCTGCCCTGTTGCTCTCCCTTTGTCCGATGTGTGGGTGTAAGCACAGAAGGCGTCTTGTTCTGTGTAAACTGTAAAGCCCTCTGAGACAGATGTACAATGTGTGATATTGGGCTATATAAATAAACTTTGATTGAAACCACTGTTACTGATTTCTCTCAGGAGAGCGTGGGCTGGCAGGTCCTGTTCCAGGGCTTCCTGACCGCCTGTCCGCAGGGCCCGTAGCTGAAGCTGCACGGCCTGTCATGGGATGTGGAGTGGGACCCGGGCTGAAGACAGAGCAGCCTCAACCTTCGCAGCAAGTGGTGTATGTTTTCACAACCAACCTAGCCAACAGGTGAGAATTATTTGCAGGCCTCACATGCAGGTGATTTCAAATCATAAGCAGCATGTATGGATTTTTTAAAATATATATCTGCTAAATGAATTTGTAATATTGCTGTATGTGTTTTGCAGTGCTGCAGAGGCAGTATTCAAAGGGCAGAGCAATTCCATCCTTCTGTTTCACCAGCAAAATGTTTCACGCACCAAGTTGGAGCAGGTCAGTAGCAAATTAGAAACAATGTTATGTTTGTGTTAAACCATGGGGGAGAAAAAGTGTTTTTCCCCCAGTCAAGACCACAGATACAAAGCATGTGGGGAGGTTAATATGTTAGACTATTTTAGTCTCCGATACCTCTTTGTTCCTGTTTCTATTAGCAGTGCTTGTGACTACTTGTACTAAGAAAGTGAAGTTCACTATGTGTTGTTTAAGCATGTTAACAATTAGATAATGTACTATAAACTGTAATTACTTCTGTTTTAGACATAGCAATTATGTAATTATTTCTTTTTGCCCTTGTTTGCCTCAGGGCCACCCATCAGGGAAGCTTCCTAACCTATCTGAGAAGGTGCACTCCAGCAGCTCTCCACCCACAGGCACCCCTAAATCCCAAGGTGGAACTCCACGGCCAGCCTCCGCAGGGATTGGAGGCCCAATGCATCCTGCAGGGACACCGACATCAGCAGGTCACTCCGACAATGAATCCTCTCAAACCAGACCTGGCGAAGGCTCAGGCAATAACAGCATTGTTGTCCAAAGGTCAGAGGGCGGGGTCACCGCCACACCCTCAGGCCCAGTCCCAGGAACCGGCAATGGGGAGGGTGCAGGGGGTATGTCTCTTCCACTTGCTACTGTTTCCCCCTCCGGAAGTCCCTCCATCCTTTCTGCACACCTACTGGGAGATATAGGCCAGAGGATTGGCCCAGTGAACATGGATGGTCTTTCAAAAGAACAGCTGGAACACAGGGAGCGCTCTTTGCAGACGCTGAGAGACATAGAGAGGCTGCTTCTGCGCAGTGGGGCAAGTGGAGGCCCCGGAGGCCCCGGAGACCCAGGAGGCCCCAACAACAATACTGGTAATAACTCTTCCAACCTAAATAATAACAACAATACTGATAGGAGTGGTATTCTCGACGGCCGTGACAATGGTACTAATAGTTCTGGAAACTGCAGTAGTGGTAATATGCTAGCATCAGCTTTGGGTCCGATGGGAGGGATGAAGAAATATGAAGAACCCCTCCAGTCCATCATTTCCCAAACACAGACCCTTGCTGGACCAACCCTTGACAGCCCTCAAATGGACTCTCATCACAACCTACAGCAACACCCCCATCACCAGCTGTCTTCACCTGGGCTCGACATGGGTCCCTTACTCGGACCAGATGGGCTGACCCCAGAGCAAATAGCGTGGAGGAAACTTCAAGAAGAATACTACCATGAGAAGAGACGTCAACAGGAAGTACAACCCCCCACACATCCACAGCACTTTAGAATGATGAATGAGATCGGCATGCATGGAGGTCCCATGATGATGAGAGGACCCCCTCCTCCCTACCACAGCAAGCCTGGAGACCAGCAGTGGGGTCCTGGCAACATGATGGGAGGAGGAAATGCACGAATGATAGACATGCACCAAGAAGGACCCCGTGGTCCAAGGTTCCTGGGACAGATGCAGAGAGGGCCCCCTGGGGGAGGTGGTTTTCCTGGTAGTAAAGGGGGAGTTTTGTCAGTAGAAGGTCTAGGACCTCAAAGGCCCGCCAGGCCAGGGATGATTTGGCTCGAAGATATGCCCAACAACATAGGTGGTGGAGGAGGTCCATTTCAGGGCTGCTACCCTGGGGGGCCTCCTCAACACTTGCAAGGTGACACAGAACATCTGTTAACGCACGAGGAAATGTTTCGCCTGATGGAGAAACGTCAGATGCAGGGGCTTCCCAGGTTTGAACTTGAACGATTAATCAAACAGCAGCAACAGGGCAACCTGGCCCAAAGAATAATGGATAATCCTGGGGGCCCAGAATTTCACAATTTGGGAATGGGCCGGGGTCCCCACTCATCTCGAGGTGATCCCATGGACTTTCCTGGATCACGGGAGATTATGGTCTCTCCTGGAGGGGGTCCGCAGATGAGAGACCGTGTGGATTCTCCTCTGGGGGGCAACCACCCAATGAACATGAACCAACAGATGAATGTTCAGCAGCAGCAACAGCAGATGATGCTCGCTCAGAAGCTCAGAGGGGGTCCTGCAGGTGGCGGGCCTTTAAGTGAGATGTTCATCCCCGGAGAGCTTTCACGAATCAGGGCTTCACAGAACGGAAGAGGGGGAAATAAGGGAATGATTCCAGGACCTGACGGACACTTTCAGTTTCCGAATCACAGTCCCTTCTCTGGAGGTCAGGGGGACGGGCCTTATCTTCAACAACCTGGCCATGAGATGTTTGGGCCTGACCCGCAAGGTCATAATCAAATGGGAGGTACATCGCGGCTAAGTCATATGCCCATGAGTGGAGGCCTCAGGGGGGTAGACCTCGGTCCTAGGCACCCTTCTGACCTATCAATCAATGTTAACCCCCTGACCTCTCCTTCAGTGCCTCGTCCTCATCAGCTCAAGTCTCCATCCCTCCACCAAGAGCCATCTCCTCTCCTACCCTCCCCCTCCGCTCCAGGACTGAAGTCCCCCTCGCAGATCTCCTCTGTGGGGCATCATCCAAATCTTCCCCCTGCCTCTGGTGCTGGGACTCCTTCCTCTTCTTCCATGAAGTCTCCCCAGATAATGGGGTCTTCCAACCTTGGATTGCACTCTCCATCTGCCTCTCCTGGACATCTCAAATCCCCTGCTATGGCTGCGGGCTCTCCAGGGTGGGCTTCCCCTAAAACAGCTCTTCCAAGTCCAGGTGGTCCAACCAGTGGGAAGGTAGTGGGCAATGGAGGAGGTAGTTCCACTGAGACAGGTATACATTTCAAATCCAGCATGACACGGAATCATCATTAATGCTGTTTCTCGCATTACTATGACATTAATCAGTTCTTTTTTATGTTCCTTGCAGGTCAATCACTTCCCCCCAGGAGTTCCAACTCGACACCCATTAGCCAGCCAGGCTCTATGAATCCTAGCATACCATTTACTTCCTCTCCCGATAACCCCCCAACTCAGAATCCTTTATCTCTTATCATGTCTCAGATGTCCAAGTATGCCATGCCCAGTTCTACTCCTCTTTACCACGATGCAATCAAAACAATTTCTAATTCCGATGATGAGATGCTTCCAGATCGACCTCTTCTATCTGGTGTCAGCATTGGAGGTAAGAAACAATGAAAGACTAATTCTGAGATCGATGTTGGTTTTCTATTTAAAAATCTGCTTGCAAAACGATCATATGATGGTACAGCTACTTTATAATATGAATAGACTTCGTATTAATATTTCATAAATTCTATATTAATTATATTAAGTATGATGGGTTTAAATAATGTCAGCGTATTGCTAAATATTATTTATTTTATTTCTTGCCTTGTTTTATCACCAGGAAACATGGTGAACAGCCAGGCCTCCCAGATGCTTGTCTCCCAGTGCTCCATTGGCTCCCACAGTGATCCACAAAGCCCCATGGGTATTGTAAGCCAAGGTCAGCAACACCTGTCCCATGACGCCTCCGGACCTATGCTTTCTTCACCAAATCCAATGGGCATGCCTGCCATGAATTCGGCCATGATGGGAGGAGGGGCCCCTGACGGAATGGGGCCCTGCAATGTTTCACCTTTATCTCAGAACCAGATGGCCGGTTTCTCTCGCATCCACCAACCACCTCATGGGCCCATGCACTCACCCATCGGAGGAATGTCACATAATTTCCATCAGTCTAATGAGGATATTCTGTCACCTCAGCAGTTACACCTGCTTAGAAAAGGTCATCCTCACCAGCGGCCCTCACATCCCTCTGACTCATTCGCCTCTTTGCCCATGGGGGACGGCAATGATCTAAGTGATGTTATGCGAACCAGTCACACGGGTATCCCTGAGTTTGATCTCTCCCGCATCATTCCTTCTGATAAGCCCAGTAGCACTCTTCAGTATTTCCCTAAGAGCGAGCCACATCAGAATCCACATCAGGGGCCACAAGCTACTTCACAGCAGCTCCTCAAACAGCTGTCTTCTGGCCCTCCACATGGCGGCGGTCATTCATCCAACCCCCATTTAGCCAACCTGCAGAATATGATGGCCGAACAGCAGCTGGCGCCTCACCCCTCACATGGTGGAATACGCCATAACATGGGTATTCCTCATGGTGGATCTAGAGGGATGGTTCCTGGGGGTGGCATGGGCCCCATGTGCCCTCCTGGACATATGATGGGAAGGACAGGCATCGGGCCCCAGCAGCAGCTCCAGCATCAGCAAGCCATGATGGCGAACAGCCTTCTCCACCATCCATCCAACCCTTACCCTGGCATGATGTCGTCCCAGCAGCACTCACACAATCTGATGGCACAGCAAAACATTATGATGATGCAGGCTAAGCAGCGCGGCATGTCACTTCCAGGGGATCCCTTTGGCCCCCAGGGTCCTCTTATGTCCCCTCAGGGTCCCATGATGGCCCCAAACCACCCACAGGCTGGTATGATGGGCCCCCAGTCTCTCAGACAGCGGGGAATGTCTCTGGACAGTCCCCTTGGCTATGGCCCCGGAGGTATGGCCAATATGCCATTCTGATCCAGTTCAAATAAACTGTATCAAAAATCAACAAAAAACAAAAAAAACAACAACCGTCGACTAGGTCACCTTCCCATTGTGTCGAATTGTTTTCATTAATGTTATTCTTGCAGTTATTTCAAAAAGAGGATCTGTAAAAACGTTAAATCATTTTGGATTACAAATTAAATTAAATATTTAAAAGCACTGTAACACGATTCAATGACAAATCTGAAGCCATTTTCTAAAATACTGTAAAATATGTATATTTCAAAGATGTGTGTATTTGTTGTTGGAACAGAGTGGCTTTCAGGAGAGGAGTGCCTCAAATTTCTATTTGTTTTAATACCATTGATTTATTTTCTCCAACTACCAAACTGTTGTGCAAAGGAACTATATATGTGTATGCATATACAGTATATACGGTATAGATATACAGTGTATACATGTATATACATATAAATATATATAATATATATATACTTGCTGTATATAAGATGCAATTTGTGATTGTTTGCAGTTGTTCTGTATAACAGTGTTTTAATAGAAGTCTAAAAATAGAATAATACTGATCTCTATGGTGGTTTTAGTTTCTGTTATTGTGTCAATTATTAATGCTTTATACATTTGACAACAAGACAAGGTTTATTTATAATATATGACATTTTTATTCAATGGAAATATCAGTAGCTAAAGTAAAAGTTCAAACCGATTCCAGACAACAATAACCTTTTCCTTTTTGACAGAGTAAAAAACAAACATTTTTATTACAAACAAAGTGGGTACTATATTGTCAGAACATGTGGTGATATTTTACATAATGACAAATGAAATTCTGCAGAACAGAAGTTTTTTTAGTAACAGCTGACACAGAGTTGATTAGATGAGGATGTTGCTGCTAGTTAATCCTCCATCAGAAATGGATGGTCGGCTGTGACCCTGAGCTCTCATGAAAGGAAGACAAACCCAGCTGCAGCCCATCTGACACAGTAACTTTATCAGCTCATTGCGAAACCGCACCCCAACAAAGGCATACAAGAACGGGTTCAGGCAACAGTGTGAGAGGCCGATGCTTTTTGTCAAATCAAGCATCGGCTGAACTAGGTCATAAGAAGTACAGTTGTCATACGTGATAACCTCCAGGTCGCCCAAAGTTATGATCAGTAAGGTGATAATGTATGGTAGCCAACAGAAGAAAAAGACGAGCGTGACGAGTAAAGCCAGTCGAATTGCTCCTTGCTTTGCGTTGCTTTTCTGACTCTTGCACAAAGTAACTACCACTGCTGTGTAACAATAGCTCATGACAGCGAGAGGAAGGAAAAAGCAAACATGATCTAGCACTCTTTTAGTCAAAACCCAGTTGTTGCCATGGATAAGGTGAAGATGATAGGAACAGAGGAGTATAGGTGTGTTTGTGTCGTTTCCCCCCACAGAAAGAAAAGCAGCATTGGGTATCGATAACCCCAAACAGAGCAGCCACAATGAAAAGCATGTCAGGTGCACTGTTCTCGGACGTCGACTTTGCATGCTGGGAATAGCATGAACAATGGCCAAATAGCGATCAAAGCCAATGCAAGCCAGAAGGGAACTCCCACAGTAGAGGTTTAGGTTTTTCACCAGACCCATCAGCCTGCAGAGAAACTCTCCAAACAGCCAGCCAGCAACATTCTCAACTATATCAAAGGGGAATGTGAGAAGGAGCATGAGGTCAGACAGGGCCAGGTGCAGCAGGTAGATCTCTGTGATGCGCAGGCGGCGCCAACGTCGCAGGAGGATGGTTATCATCAGGCCATTTCCTGCTACACCCAGCAGGAAGATCAGGCTGTACAGCACGGGTTGGAAAACGGCATGAAACGCCTGCAGGCCGATCCCATCATCATCACAGACCAACGAATTGTTGTCGTAAATGTAGTCTGTGTAATTAACAGAATATTCATTGTCTCCCATCTGTAAAACACAAAGAGGAAATGCTATTTTAATAATAACTTCACAGTTGGAGAATCACCTTGTGTGCTGTGGAATAACACAACTGCGTTAATTTGGGTTGGGGTGAATGAACCGTTACATAAGCTTTAATAGCGCTACTTTGGTTTTTCTTCGTTCCGTGTTTTTAAGTCAAATGATTAGGCAGGAAACACAGTATAGGCCAGGTTTTTTCACTTCCTCTTCATTGTAATGCAATGTTTAAGACATAAGACATATTATTTGGGACGTATACTAACAAATTAAATGTAATAACTTTTTCCCTTTAAGTAACAACCATGTGGGTTATATATCTGGTAAACAAATCCCAGCTAATAAAATAAAATATAAAATAAAAGCATAAACATATTCAATTATATTCAAATTTCTGAATTCTGAAAAATTTGGATAAAATGTGATATTGTACGAACACATTCAAAGTTTGACATACAACTCTGAACGCATCACCTTGAATGTAATAGTATTTCAATGTAATAGCAGGCAATTAAGTAGCAGGATGTTCTTTGTGCTACAGTAACTTCAGAATTAAAGTAAAAGGGGAATAATTCTTTACTTATACATTAGTTTTCCTTCTCATAAAAGAAGAAACAAAACATTACATTTCAAAATTATACAATTTTAAATGGAATCAGTGCTGCCATGACTGTCAATGTTATTACTGAGCCTAAAATACACGGTAAAATACTACAGTTTGCTCTTATATAACATGTTTTACCAAAATGTTATAATGTAATTTAATCTACAATAATTAGACTTATACATTTGACTCAAATAACAAGCAATTTGGATCACCACACAGGTTTTGTTTTGATTTGAAAACATAAATAATCTCTATTTTTAATTGCATTAGTGTGATTGATCATATCATTTTTTCCTCCTACATGAGTGCATTTATAAAAAAATATAACATTTTTAAAAGTACACCGGCACTCTCCTTTATGTTAAACACATACCAGATGATGTATTACAGTGAATTTCTTCCTTGTCTATTTCAGCAGTGAATCATAATGTAACGGACCCGCCTGTTCAGGTGCAGTTCTAATGTTCAGTAATTCATGCTACTGTAGCGTATAAAATATGTTTCTCAAAGTTGAGACAATTCAAAATACATGTAGAACTTATCAAGCAGCTACATGTTTGTTGTTACCTTTAAATCTAGTGTTTTAAATGTCAGATGCTGCAGCAGACAATTAAAGGTTATTCTGGATACTGAAAGTTGTCCATTTGTAGTTAAAAGGACATTTAACAATAGACTAAATCACAGTAAGACTTGGACTGTTGCTTACGATGACACCCATTATTTTAAGTGCATAGAAATTGCTTTATTTTAATATCTTATATTAGATATAAGATTGTGACCTTCGATAGGATAAGAGACTTGACATTTTGATATCAATTACCATTCACTTTAAAAATGTTAAATCATTTCTTACCTCAAAAACAGCAAAGGTGTTTGTTACAGCCATGTTGGTCAGTTTTGGCCACCTTAATGTATTTCGTACACTGCCGTATGAGCTTTTATGCCTTTTAGTGCTGGGTGTGGGATTGTTAAAAAACAAAGATTTAAAATAAACACGCTTTAAATATGAGGCTTCCTATAGTAAGCATGAAAGAGCAGTAATGCATGTCAAGTAACCACACCCTACACTATATCCTAGCTTTTCAACAAGCAACAAGAGGCAATCATACAGAACCAGATGTATTTGCGTATTTTGGGCTATAACCTTATCACGCATGGTATGGTGTATAAACATCCAGCCAACCTCTAGCAGTAAGTGTGAGAAGACTCCATGCATCATTCAGATTTGCCCTTGATATCAATGTTGTTTTTTTACTTATATCTCAAATAATAGCCTCAATGTATCCATAATTAGATTAGTGATTAGATTGAAAGCAGAAAGTGTTATTTACTACTGTAGCTAGGATACATTCAGATGGAGAAAGCCACTTTGGAACTCTGTAGGGAGGCCCTCAACCCCAGACTGCTCCATGGCCTGTAGATCAGACCGGGTGTACACGTCAGATTCTAAGTCTGTACTGTATGTGAGTGTAAACATGGCATTCTTGAGAAGTCAGTTATATAGCCCTAGTTAAATAAATATTGCTTTAAAGTGCTGAACATGGAGTAAATGTCCCATACTGATCTCAGTTTCTTATGTCCCATTCATAATTCAATACAGCTTGCCACTTTTTGAGAGCAGCAGAACCACTATAAAACTAAACCAACTAGTAATTAAGTGAATCACTGAATAAACTAATTATTGACATGCCATTTTTTAATGTAAAACTAATTACCTGGTCGAAAAATAAATAAATGTTGTTAATGTGTTTATTGAGGCCTAATTAAACTAGTAGGCCTATAGTATGATGTGGAATATAGGCCAGGCTGTAAAAAATATACCGGCAAGTTATAATATGGTCAATGACATGTACAAACATCAACCCATCTTGGGTTGAGGTGGGGTTGCCACACATTTATTTTGCCCTTTTCTCCTGACATGTACTCTCCTATTAAGCTTGAAAAATGAAATAGAGTACATTATGCACAATAAAGCTTTGGTAATGTGGAAGTGCATTTGACACTATAATGTTAGTGAAAGTATTTGGCATAATCCCTCTCCAAGCAAGTTATCAGAGTAAGATTGGGTAATGTTAACAATTATTACAATTTTACATTTTGAGTGATTTGTTTTCTTAGAAAGTGGCATCAACCATGACACAGAAGATGTAGCTGACATTAATTTGAAGGAAAAAGAACACGGATGCACACAATACCAAGAAAAGCTCTGGCTCGATGGATGCAGTGGAGTGTTTGTACATTGGTAATATAAATTAGTCTGAAAGTATCATCATGAAAGCTCACCCCATAGGTAAATCCTTGATTATAAATGAAATCAGCTGATTAGGTGGATGGGGGCGGGTTCAAAAGCGAGTGGAAGCCATCTTGGACAGTTGGTTGACAAGCCTCTTTCGTAGTCAGCTAAAACATTGAGAACACCTTACAAACACCGCATAGAGAACCGGTAATTTCAGCTAACCAAGGTAACTGCATGTACATCTAAACTATTCCTACCTTTGCATGGTTCTTTACCCTATTTCTCATTATGTTTAGGTGACTAGTACATTTGGCGTTTACTGTAAATGTTATTTCACCAGTTTGTTAGCTTGCTAGCCGACCTAGCACGGAAAACGAGTTGGCTGAGCTAACTACCTGACTGAGATTAGTAAATGGTGGCTATCTCATTTTGTCAAATAGTACTCTTTGGAAAGAGTGTCAAGTATTATTTCGAATGGTGTTATAACAATCTGACCGTTACATACAATACTCTGAATCCAGTATTGTAACGTCGTTAACCGAACCAGCAAAACATTAGCACGAAGCTAAAGCTTCGTTTGCTAGTTAGCCAGAAGTCCACGGCTAGCAGAAGGCTAACGCTAGCATCTAGTTGGTTGTATTTAACAGACAGAAACTGCTCCTCGTCGGTGTTTAGATATTTATCCTCTTAAGACTTTCAGGTGACAGCGTTGGGGTTACTTTACAGTTAACCTAATGTTGGGATTGACCTCGAAATTCAATGTTGTTTTCATATAAGCAAGCAAAGGTTAACTAAATAACATTACGAATCACCGCTGTGTCGGTCAACTTTTGACATGTAGGCCGGCCAGTTATTCAGCTGAATAATGATTTGATATGTCTCCATACCCTCCAAATACAGCATATTGTAATTTGCTGCTTATCATCATGGAATTGTTTTGTCGGATAAGATGTTTCTAACACTCTCTGTCCCGTATGTTTCAGGGTTGGAGAAACCTGATAAAGGACGCAGCGGCTCTGTGAAGCTAAACAAGATGGCTAGCTGAAGAGTCTGCCAGTACTTGAAAGCTAGATCAGCCCTTCTGGTGTATGGTTTTCCATATGGCAATGGCAGATAATTCCATCTATGCTAAATCCTAATTAAAAAATAAGAAGAGGAATTTGTTATTTTTTACACTTGACGACCCACACACGGCAGTACTGTTGAGGAACCTGCTGAGACAAACACGATTTGAACAATTTACATTTGGATAATTATTGAAGTCTCAAGAGTGAAGGACAACCTTAAGTATTGAGTGGTCCCAGCAGAGCGGACTCGCTGCATCTAGAGACTGATAGATACCTCATTGCTACTGGAAGAAGAAAGCATAGCAAACATGAGTACCGCCAGGACAGAGAACCCAATGATTTTGGGCTTGTCCAACCAGAATGGACAGCTCCGAGGTTCAGTGAAGACTGCTGGAGCGCCAGGTGGAGGTGTGGGAGGCCCTCAACAGCAGCTCAATCAGATGAAAGGCACAATCAACAATGGCAATTCCCTACCGGCCCCTACAACCAACGCTGTCATCAAGTGAGTGATGAAATATGACATGTTGTCAAAGTTATTGCTGTCAAATCTTATGTTTCATGCTAAAAATAACTTTATCTTTCATAGGCTTGGAGACGACTGGAAGAAAAATTTGAAATTGCCCCCAAAAGACACGAGGATGAGAACATCGGTTTGTAAAACATAGTTCTTCTGTTTTGCTTTTGACATGTTGTTTCTAGTTAGGTCACGTGCTCTCATTTATACATTTTTCATTAAAATGTCAGCAATTGTTTGTTTTTTTGCCAGCCATGCTAGAAAACCCTGCTAAACTTGGCTATGTTCATTTAATAAGAATGTTATTTACATACCATTACTTTGGTGCAAATGATACAACATTTCACATGAAAAAAAGAAGCAATACAATATGCATGTATTGACTTTCTGTTAACCATAAATACGCTGTAATGCCTTAACAGACATTATCCACTAAGATCTGGGGGGCCTTTATATTTATATTGTGTCCTTTTTTTATTTGAACATACTTTCATTCTTAAAATGTTCCTCTTAAAGTTGTTGCAGTTTTATTGTTAGTGTTTGACCTGTTTAGTGTTTCACTTGAATCCACCTGTCTGGGCTTTTTGATCTGAAAGTGGTGTTTTCTTTTTTTCTTCTTCTTCACAACATGCTTCACTTGGTTAGATTTAAGAAAAAAAACTATTTCACAATGTTTGTTTCTATAAATTCTTTGTTTACATGTGCTTTCATGATATCTTTTTATTTGAAGAGCCCTTTTTTATTGGGAATTTCTATAATTGGTTAACACTTTAGTGCACTTATTTAGGAAAATAAAAACCTCTCCTTTCATTATCAGCTAGTCATAATTTATTAGTTTAGTAACTTTCTGTTTAAATCTTTTCAACCAAATGCTAATTATTGCTTGTTTTTATGATGACAGGATGTGACTGCAACTAAAGGCAACGAGTTTGAAGATTACTGCCTAAAGAGGGAGCTGCTAATGGGAATCTTTGAGATGGGCTGGGAAAAGCCCTCTCCAATCCAGGTACATTGAGACAAAACTCAGATTTAATCAAGAAGGCACGTTTGTGTTTAAAGGAGGGCATGCCTTTTTTATTATAAGCTTTGTCACCTTCTTAAAATCTTGTTAGTCATTCCAGTATATTGACAAAATATTCTATTTGATACCTTTGCTTAATTAGGCATACAAAATACTTTTATTTATTATTGTCTATCAGTAAATCACTTTTTAGGGTTTTTTATGTGATATAACTCCTGCGTCTCAATTTCAAATTGAATCCTAATGGTGGGGATTTGTTTAAAATCTGGATACTGTGGGTTTAGAATTTGGTTTGGTCCTTAGTCAGGCTCTGGTGAAGCAGCATAAGAAAGTAAGCCTTTATTCAAAGAGTTGAGCCTTTTTTAGGCAAACTCTTGGCATGGCATTATCTCTGTCCACTGCTTAGGTCCAGACTAAAATCGTGATGGCTGAAATGCCATTACATTTTGTATTTTCATGGTTCACAGACCATTTATTCTAATGAGTTTGATCCCCCGAGTTCTCCTCGTCTGACCTATTCAGATAGACCCACTAAGAGGGTTTAACTTGTGTTGCTGAGCAGCCTGCATGCATGGGGTATTAATAGACCAATACCTCAGTACTGTTACTATTTTACTTTCCATCCAGTTTAAATTGAATATATTTTGTTAGAACAGGCAATGCAATGACTGTACCAACCAACACATGTAGAACTGTGTATGAATCTGTCATTTCTGCTTGTTGTTCAGGAGGAAAGCATTCCCATCGCACTGTCAGGAAGAGATATCTTGGCCAGAGCCAAGAACGGCACAGGGAAGAGTGGAGCCTACCTCATTCCCTTACTTGAACGCATTGACCTGAAGAGGGACTGCATACAAGGTGACACAGCTCATTTTCTGCTACAGTTAAAGTCAAAAAGTGAACTCTTGATTCTCGCTGAAGTCTTTCATAATTGTTCAAGCAAAAATCTGAAGTTCTATTCTATCAATTGGGAATATTTAATAGTCTTCTCTGACTTGATTGATGAGTAAATTGAATTTGTTCAAGATGTATCAATAATTAAGAAAAGTTTCTGACCTAGTTGTATGATTATATTCAAAAATAATAATTAAATGATCACCCTCTGTCAAACTTTAATAAAGACTATAATCAAGGTTTTTGTGAAGCTTAAAGGTGGGGTAGGTAAGTTTGAGAAACCGGCTCGAGATCGCTAGAATTTGAAAATCCACAACCGGAGAAAATCTGCCACTTCCTTACAGAGCCCCTCCTCCAACACACACGAACGCGCACATGACCAATGAGTGCACGAGATAAGTTTGTGCACAGATGGAAGGCTGACAGGCAGGTAGGCCATCCAGTTATTTTAGCCGGGCCGGCTAAAATGATTGGTCGTGCTTTTTACAGTACTACGGCTTCCACAGATGAAATTTTTTTTTATGGATTTTTTGTCAAAGCACTTAAGATATTCATTGCTATCGGGATGTTAAGAGCATTCCATGGAATATAACAAAAAGTGTATCTCGAGCCGGTTTCTCAAACGTACCTACCCTACCTTTAATGGTTTTAAAGCTTTTTTTCATGATTAAAATGTGCGAGTACTTTTCTCACAAGATTGTTTTTGCTTTTATTCCAGCTATGGTCATAGTACCCACCAGAGAACTGGCTCTGCAAGTTAGCCAAATAAGTATCCAGGTCAGCAAACACATGGGTGGAGTGAAGGTAATGGCGACCACAGGTGGAACCAACCTCCGCGACGACATCATGAGACTTGATGAAACGGGTAAGTACAATTGATACACATGCACTGTGCCATTGATGTTTACATATGCTGCTGCTTTGTTTGGTTTCATGCCAATTACTGTGTTAATATCTAAAATACGTTTTGTTACATATTATTTAAACACAAGCAAATCGAATCCCCAATCTGTTCTGTTGAAAATAAAAATGGCAACATCAAATTGGGCATATCTTTAGGTGGATTTATATTTTGAGTTCAAGTTGTTAGTCTTGAGTCTGGAAAGTCTTATCTGATACTGTCAGTATATAACGCAGATAGTAAAGAGTCCCTATCCTCTTTGGTTGGATATTTTCAATCTGAGTATCTCTAAAGGCAATCATCTTTGTACTTACTCGCCCCATAAACAAAACAGATTGCATATAAACCCTGTTATCAGGACATGTTTCACTGTGGTGTGTTTTTTAATATTTTTGGTTGATGTTTGATTGGAAGACGATTGAACTTTGGCAGCCAATCAAGAGTGAATATTGCCAAATATTTATAGATATTCCTCAGAATTAGATACAGCTTTCTATACTGCAGTCACACATGGCTGAATATTGCCAGTGCGATTGACATGACGTATCAATTAGTTTTTTAGCTATACTTATTTAAAATCCTGAGCCAACTCATCACTGTCTTTCTTTAGTTTAAGCCCCGTGTGTCTGCTATATTTATTTAATTTGTTTTCCAAATGTTCTATTTATTTTACAGTACATGTGGTCATTGCTACTCCTGGGAGGATTTTGGACCTCATCAAGAAAGGAGTGGCCAAAGTCAATCAAGTGCACATGGTCGTTCTGGATGAAGTGAGTTGAATTGTTTATTTATCGTTCCCTTATTGTTCTACATCTACCAGTGTGACTTTACAGTATATTCTGCACCGATAGACTGATATCAACTTGCCCTTCTCCATCTCCCATGCTCCTCTGTTCTACAGGCTGACAAACTCCTGTCTCAGGACTTTGTGTCCATGATGGAGGAGATGCTGGGCTTCCTGGCCAAACAGAGGCAGATCCTGCTTTACTCTGCTACCTTTCCTCTCAGCGTGCAGAAGTTTATGGTACATATTTCTCCGGTTTGATCCAAGAACTTGTCTTTATCATTCCTTATTGCTCAGCGCAAATCAGCCTTCATAATCTGCGGCACAACCTGATCATAACGGCTCCTGTCTCCCCCTGCTTTGTAGAACGCACACTTGCAGAAACCCTATGAGATCAACCTGATGGAGGAGCTTACACTGAAGGGTGTGACTCAGTATTACGCTTATGTAACTGAAAGGCAAAAGGTCCATTGCCTTAACACCTTGTTCTCCAGGGTAAGTGTCCTTTTTCTTTTTATAAACTCAAGCTGTGTTATTTAAAACCGATGTAAAAGGCCATCTTGACTGCAGGCTTGTAATAAAAACTGTCCCGTCATAAATAACGCAGTCATTTTTACATGTTTTCATTTCATACACATATTTATTTCAACATTGACTACACCTGGATTCACTGCTGTTTTTTTCTTTTAATTTGCAGCTCCAGATCAACCAGTCTATAATCTTCTGCAACTCCTCTCAGCGAGTAGAGCTCCTTGCCAAGAAGATCTCCCAGCTCGGTTATTCATGTTTCTACATTCATGCCAAGATGAGACAGGTCAGCTCAAAGCACTGCCTCAGAAATACCAGCACGACCAGCTTTAAGACCAAAATACACACAGGTGGCGATGGGTGCATGCCAGGACAGCTGCTGCTTTAACTTTTGGTGTGCAATAAAGTGGCGCATCGTGTAGACATGCATGTCCCTCGACTTGATGTGAATGCTCTATTTTTGGAGCGTTGCTGCCACTGCTAGCTCTGAGAAACAGTCCTGTTGACAACTGGGTAACTGAACAACATGCGCTACAAACCACAGCGTTTTGACTGTGCTGCCTTGTTATTTGTCTTCTACTCTTTCAGGTTGACTTTTACATTTGAATGGATTCACATAACATCCTAGTTTGGCAGCTTGTACTTTAGAAAAGGTTTACAGATGTTCACAACAGAGCTAACGTGGTGCTAATACGCCACAAAAACAGGAAAGTGTTGCACTGCAGATCCACCACATGTGAGGCTTACTGGACATGTCTTTTCTGCTCTCCAGGAGCATCGCAACCGTGTGTTCCACGACTTCAGAAACGGCCTCTGCCGGAATCTTGTCTGCACTGGTAAGTGGGAGAGCCATGTGCATGTACTACTCCAAATGTTACAAGTAGAACTGTACAAATAATGAAACAGTTTACTTTCAGCAAGCAGCTTTAAAGCATCTTTGTACAAAAAAAAGGAAGGCTGGAGGGTTTGGGAAGTGCTTAGTTAAAATGTAATATTTGTATTGCTTACTGTGAAATGGACTTCAGGTAAACATCTGCATACAGCTAGACATATTGTTCTCAATTGAGCTTGATTCAACAGGCTAATCCAACTAGCAAGCTACAGTTGAGCACAACCTTCCTTACCAAAATGTACTTTTTAGAATGTAATCCAGAATTTGTGTTTTGCATGTGTGAATATAGTGGACATAAACAGCTGTTTGGCTCACAGCGTTTACCAGAAGGATGTATCATACTGAAGACAAGCTGCTGTTCCAAATTCGTATACAGCCATAGCAGAACAATGCATCAGGTTTCAGATTTAAAAAATCTTGTAGTTAGAAAACCTTTTTACTGGAATTACCCACCTGATCATGAAAGAATGGAACCATTTTGATGAGTTTCCAGCATGAAAACTGATAAGGCTGACCACAGAGAGCCCAAGGTGCCTGTGGAAGTGCACAACAGTTTGGAGTGTGCCGTTAGCCTGGGTAATGGGAGGTTTTGCTACAGTGAGACTGAAAAGAAACGAAAGGGAAACTGTTATTGTGGTGACACATTTGTACATATTATTTTGTTGTGACATGTTTGCTTGAAATGACTTGCTTCACAGGTTTGTCCACGTTTTTCGGTTGTTAGTTTGGTACTAATCAGAACACCATTATTGTTTTCATCTTTTGAATTCTAGCGGAGTCATATAGGTTAAAATATAATTGAACTGACTGTTATGCACATAACATATTGCTTCAGATATATAATGGTGTTAATATAAGTTTGCCTTCTTTCTTTGTTTCCTCCAGACCTCTTCACAAGAGGAATTGACATTCAAGCTGTGAATGTTGTGATCAATTTCGACTTTCCCAAGCTGGGAGAAACGTACCTTCATCGCATCGGTAGATCTGGTAAGTGCCAATACTGGTTATGTTGTTTCCCTCTTGTACAAATAATGATTGCTGTAGCTGAGAATAATGATTGAAACCTTCACATTCTTAATCTCCAGGCCGATTTGGACACTTGGGTCTGGCCATCAACCTCATCACCTACGATGACCGCTTCAACCTGAAGGGGATCGAGGAGCAGCTCGGAACAGAGATCAAGCCCATCCCCGGCATCATCGACAAGAGCTTATACGTGGCAGAGTACCACAGCGAGAGTGGCGAAGAAATCAAGCCATGAGCCAGTGAGTACAGACACAAGGCCAATACAAACAACACATATTTACTCTTTCAGGATAATTCAGCTGCTCTTCTGTTCCCGTTTTCTGTATTATTGATGCAATGCATCCATTTGAACACACCGGCCAAGAAAATAGATCTTCTTATTAGACTGATGAATGGGTCACATTACAATTTGCTGTGCTAGTGTTCTGCTACTGGGCATGCCGGGTCATTCATATAACTCAAAGGCACCACAAAAGATAAATGAACCATTATTACGGTTATTACCCTGATGGTGTGTTTCCTGCTGTGAGAAGACGTAGGAACATGAGCAATAACTCATTGTAATTCTTACTGTGCTCTGATATGGCTGCAGTTTATTCAACTTTATTTTGTTAAAGCCCCGTGTTACACAAGGCGTCTGAGCTCAAGTGTCCTTCAGCCGGTCACTCCATCTCTACCAGCTGCAGGAGGCATAGTCTTTGTCGTTTTCAAGAAGTCTGTTCAAGTTAATCTAGAAATGGCATATTTCGGTTTCACTTCATTCACAAACTGTTAAAAAAAGTCAAGAACGATCACAAGACATCATTGTGAAAAGGGGCCCTATTATATGTTTTTGGGTTTCTCCTCTCCTGTAGAGTGTTGTATAGGTGTCTGTTCATGTAAATGGTCTACAAAGGCTAAATCCCTGTTTCTCTCCCACACTCCCCCCTTTTGTGCGAATAACTGTAATGCCATCTTTTCATTCCTGCATGCTGAATCATTTAAACATGTTTTAGATATTAAAGTAACTAACCTTATTTCACTCTTTCTTTTCAGATCAGTCCATCCTCCATTCCCCTTTTGTATCTTTTTTTCACCCCCCCCCTCCCCGTCTTAGAGTTCTCTTGTTTTAGTTTTTTTATGTACAGTTTCTGTCTGTCTTCCTTTTTTGGATGCCACCATGAGGAATGTGTATTTTGATGGACGCGTTTCGGAAGAACTCATTTGCCTTTTTGATAGGGCTCAGAGCTGCTCCACCACACCCTGAAGACATGAGCACCTGGAGGAAAGCATGGGACCAAGTCGAGAAAAAAAATATATCAATGCACATCGTGAAGATTCATATCCACCAATGACACAAAGCCAGCACCAACAGACCGCTATACGACACCCTCCATTCTCCACGTTTTATTTTGAAAGTTTTAACCAATTTGTATCAAGTGCCTTAACAAGCAGTTCAACTCGTTCTAAAGTAATAACCCCTCATTATCCTTCATCTTGATCACTTCATGCCACACACTCACGTTCACCTAATTGAGAAATGGCTACACTAATTTAATGTCCGAACCACATGGGTGAAATCATAACTGTTTTTTGGTTGGGTCATACGTTTGCAAGGAATGGAGATCTTTGGGAGGGAAGCCGGTCGGATTTATCTTTTAGCTGGCTTAGCTGCACTTGAGTCTGGCTGATAAATGAGGACAAACTTGGATGTTCCATGGACAGAGATGCTGGATTTTTCCCAAGAGACAGCCAGACTTGTCCGGTCACTTGGAAGGAGCTTGTGCTTCTAAAAGACCCAGAGCCTTTCCTCCGTCTTCAGCATCAGAACACTAAAAATGAATGAGCAGCCTCTCAACACCGCGAGTCATGAGGATTCCTGTTTCGGTGGAGTTTAATCGTAGGGAACGCTTTTGTTTTTTTGTTTTTTGTTTGTCCTGTGTTTCACCTTCCTATGGATGGCCATACTTAATTCTACGAGACGTGCAGCGGACATGTTGGCTGCGCTTTACTCCTTGTGTATATACCTTCATTTTAAGATTGTTTTAAAAACAAGTTCAAAAGGCTGGCTACAAACTGAAGAGCTTTTTTTTTTTTTTTCGTCCCCCTTTCTCTCTTGTTAGCACTGGAGACTGTTTCCTTTTTACTGCCGGTTTGTTTGATCTGCAATATGGGCCTGTGAATTTATTTATAATTTTAGAAAGTGCAGAATTTATTAGAATCTAAAACATTGAAATGACCTTGTGCATGGAATGTTTCAGGAGGCAGAGTTCATCACTGATAATCTTTGTAGCCCCTCAACATTTGAAGGAGAGTGCAATTGTTCAAAGCACTTAAAATGAGATTGTTTAAATTGTCGCCCTTTTTCTCCTGCTAGCAGTATTAACAAGAGTTTGGTCTAGACGGATGGCTTTGTTGAGCATTCGAGTAATGAATTATTTGTTTGTCCCCAGCCTTAACTTGTGAAACAAACTCTCGAGCACACTCTGAAGATCTGCAGTTATAGAGAGTGTTGTTATTGGAAGAGAAAATAATATTCTATCATGTAGTAGTACTACTCGCTGCAGTGCAGCTGAATTTGAACAGAATACGTTTTCTGGGGGAGGTATTATCTGTTACGTTGATCTATGTGCTCTTTATGCACGGCTACATTGCTTCACACATGTTGAGCAGGGAGCCGTGGATTAATTTCCCCTTTTTGACGAATGTTAGCCTAATGCATCAAAACAAACTATCTGACTAAAATGTAGCAGAAATGTAATCTCTGTGCATCGCAAGTTAGCTGGCTTTATAAAAACAAAAGAAAAGAAGCCTCGTTAAACAACCTGAGCAGGTTGAGCTGCACTTAGCGCACAGAGACGTTCAGGAAAAACACTGACTGCACCGCTTTTAACGCCCATCATGCCCAAATGGGAACAGTGGTGCAGAACAAAACAAAAAATTGGCAAAAAGGGGGAATGGGCAAGAAGATTTACATATTACTGTTAGTCGGACTGCTTGTTTAAAGAAAAAAAAAACCCTGGCCACCTCAGACTGCTGAGTTTATGGCTTATTTCTCTATTGCTTTGACATTTGGGCTTTTGGTTACAGTTTGTTTTTATGCAGCATAACCTACTTTGCATTAAGATCATCGAGACACCTTTTGAAACCTTTTTGCAAACTGGGTTCCCCTTGTTATGGTGAGATGCTTTCCAACTGTTCTAATCAATGAGAAGTAGTATTGCACATTTAATTTAAGCTCTTTTTAAAATGTACCAGTGTGACGATGTTCAGTTTAAAATTCCCTTTTTATTTCTCATTGGTTAGGACTGATCCCTGTTCTCTCAGCGTTGTCGTCCCTTAAATACATGCACATCTAATTTGGCTGTTTCGTCTTGTGGGTTGGGTGGGAGGGCTGTTTGAAAAAAAAAATATTCAAATTAAATGAAGCATTCGTTGAGAGAACCGGGATCTAACTGCACAGGCGTTTGGCAGCTGCCTGTCTCTCTGTGGCCCACCGGCAGTAACGGCAAAGCGAACGCCTCCAGGGCGTAACTTGGTAATCCTTCAAGATTTAGTGTATTGCTACTTTTTGATTGGATGCTGCATTACTGCCAGTGGCTGCCACTCTGAGAACCTTAAAGACTGAGACAAGAGCATCTCGCCCCAGATCGGGCGCCTCGATTTGATAGTTTGTCTAACTAAATTGTCTCATTCTTTAAGGAATTGTTTTACATTTGTGGGGTGGTTTAAATTCGAGCTCTTGCTGCCCTGATGCACAGGTTTATCCTCTTTTGAGATTCCCAACACATTTACAGAAAAACACAATTTCTGTGTACATTTTGGCCAACCCATCACTTATTTTTTAGAGGAAATGAGAGGACTGCTTTCAAAACTGATGCATCAGTAAAATAAATTGGGGAGGGAGGGGCTTTGGGCCGTACAAAAAACGAGATATGATCTTAAGATCCAGTTACGGTTATAGGTTAAAAACGTTTTGAAAAAGTTGCCCTTAAATTTGGATTTTTGTATTTTCTTTCAAATGAAACGTTCAAGAAGTAGAGTTAACCTTACTTAAAACAAAAAATCTCCAAATTTAAGTGAAGAATTTAAAGCCTGCGTTAATCTTTTCTTTTATTTGATGGAAATTTGGTCGTTATTCAATTGGAACATTTTCTTTTCAGTGAAGCATTTTAAAATGGACTTGAGTTTAAAAAGGATGTTATCAATATTGTTGGAAACAATTGAAAGTTATGTTGAAAATAAAGCTCACTGAAATGTATCTTGTGGTTGTGTTTTCCTTGGAGCACTGCAGTGTCCTGTCGCTCTCTCACAGCCAGGTGTCAGTGTGTCGCTGCGAGTGAACTCTGACCTGGAGGATGTTCTCAGACCTTCACTTTGTGACTCAAAATGCACAAGTCGCTGTTTCTCTGTTTATCAACTGTGGCTCTTTATGCCTGTGTAAATGCTGCTCTTCCTCCCCCATGTGACAGGTAAGATTGTGTTTTTCCTTGAAAGGTTTTTGTATTCAAGAGATTGTTGAGACGGCTTCCTGATCTTTAACTTCTGCTGATTCTAAAGATCTGGTTGATTTATGGCTGTAAAACCGATTCACCTGAAATGAGTCTCAAACATTTTTACAACCCTACATCTTTTCAAAGTGCATTTCCCACCATAAGTAATGGATCTTATTGGAAACTACTTTAATACTTTTTAAAGTCTAATATCGTGTAGGAATTTCCTAAAAGAATAATCGCTCGGTGGAAAGCAGACTAGCAGTGAGCGGTCTTCACTTGCTTGCTTAGTTTGTGGGATACAAGCAGCCTTTTGTTGCAGAGCACCTGAGGTTTCAATGTTAAAACCACCATGCACAGCAAACAGACCTTTCATATATCTGGCTTGTTTTTCCCTTCAGCAGATATCAGCAAACCTTTGCCCTCACCTGTTTACTTAAAGTGACAGGGATATGGCTTTATTGCTTCCCTGAAGGACTCTGCATGTCAATATACGATTTTCTTGTCTGTTTAAAAATTGCCCACTACAAATGAATTTCAGTGAAATATACTGCACCGGGCCCATCTTGCATCAGGTGCAGACCGCCAAACTGTTTGATGATGATAAATACTTTGTTGACATGAAACTGAGGGAAACTCCTGGTAAGTTTAAGTTGTTTTAAATAATTTTAAAAGAAGGGAACAATTTTGTTCTTCATGTGACTCCTTTTGTTGCCCACTTTGTTTTCTGTAGACGTTGTTTTGTCTGCTTTTCACAACCTTTCAAATGAATCGCCAAACAACACCGTCCCGCCTGCTAAACTGCAGGAGTTCCTCAGTAATTACTTTGAGAAACCAGGGACAGAGTTTGAGTCATGGACACCACCGGACTGGCATACCAAGTGAGACCCAGTTATTAGAGGATTCTCGATCAGATCAGTATTGCTTTTCTTTGGTTAGTCGACATTGTTGATATGTTGATTTCTATTTACAGACCAAAGTTTCTAGGAGGAATAGCAGACCAACAACTACGTAACTGGGCTGCAAAAATCCATAATCTGTGGAAGTCCCTCGGCAGAAAGGTGAGCCGAGTGAAACGATTATTTGATTGGCCTAATTAAGTCTAACCTTAACTAATTTAATATATACATACATAAGAAAATAAACTACATTTAGAGCCACTGCGTTCAGTTTCTGTGATGTGAATTATTAGACTGTAATTACAATTAATACCTTGGGGGTTTTGTTCTTTGTTGGACAAAGCAAGCTATTATATAAAGTTCAGATAAAACTATACTTGGTAGCCTAATAGTTTACATAAAGAGGAAAGCACAAATCAACTCAATACACAGCCATGGTAAGTACCATCCTTTTAAAGGTAAGTCCACAAGCGTATAAAGCGTATATGCCTGACGACTTACCTTTTATGTATATCGAGGTTGAAGCATCCACTTACACTTGAGTCTAAAGCCTGCTGAAGAATTATGTCTCTTCCAGATCCGCACGGGTGTCAAAGATCACCCCGAGCTCTACTCGCAGATATACACCCCGCACCCTGTTGTTGTGCCTGGGGGGCGTTTCAGGGAGCTCTACTACTGGTGAGTGGAGGATGAAGGCTGTCTCTCACCTGTCTGGGAGAAAAGACTCTCTGGGTCAGACCCAGGCAGTGGTCTCTGCTGAAAGCCCAGCTTGGTGCCGTGTGCAGACAGTGATGTTCACCTCTCTGTGCCCAACAGGGACTCCTACTGGGTCATCAACGGCCTCCTGCTGTCAGAGATGACAGACACGGCACACGGGATGATTCAAAACTTCCTCTACCTTGTCAACAGGTGAGCCTTAAAGCAACTTTCATCTCTCACTTAGAAGTCCACCGCACTGCAGATAACATCCTGAGTTGTATACTTTGGATATGGAACTCTCCAGGGGGGGATTTCGTGATTTGTGCATTAACAGATTTCACAATTTCACAGATATGGATTTATTCCAAATGGTGGTCGGATTTACTATGAAAGGCGCAGCCAGCCTCCATTCCTCACTCTAATGGTGGAGAGCTACTATCGAGCTACCATGGATAAAGAGTTTCTCAGGTGATATGGCCGAGCTGATGTCCTGCACCACACATTATCATTTTTCAGCTGCATCTCCTCCAAAATAGAAAGAAAAAGGCGTAATAAACATCAGAACCTCAGTGCTCCTATCTTTCTGTGCCTACAGTTTGTTTCTCCTAACATGCTTATTTAGAAAGACACACACAACGTTTGTGTGTAATGCTATTAAAGGGGTCCTATTATGCTTTTTGAGGTTTTCTCTTTCCTGTAGTGTGTTGTATATCCCCCCCGCTCCTCCATTGGACTCCTTTGTTTACTCCTGTAACAGTGACATCACAAGATATCACTCGGACAAATATTGTCTAGTGCTCCCACACATTGAACGTGATGTCCTGCTAAGGCACAGGACATCACTAAGCGGTTGACCAATCACAACAGAGCCGCCCAGCTAGCCAATCAGAGCAGACTGGGCTCTGGTTTCAGACAGAGGGTGAAAAGAGGTGCTGCACCACAGGCAGTATGAGAAAAATAAAGACCTTTTTTGAACATTAAAGCGTGGGAACATGTCACAGATGAGGCACAAATATGAAACCTGAACATTAGCATAATTGGATCCCTTCAAAGACTGTGAAAAGTAGTTTAATGAAATGTGTTTCCCTCCTGTCTGTACTCACTTCACATTTGACTATTTTAGAGCAGCTTTGCCCGCTCTGGAGCAGGAGTACCGCTTCTGGATGCAGAACCGCTCTGTGGCTGTGACGCTGAACGGGGCTGAGCATGTACTGAACCGGTATCATGTGCAGGTGGGCTCCCCCAGGTACACCTGAATAAATCCAGAGTAAATAATGAACAATTGTAAGATGTCTTTGGTATGTAGAGTTGGCCTTCACCTACACTTAACTTTGTTTTTGTTTTCTTTCAAGGCCTGAATCGTACACGGATGATCTGGAATTAGCTGAAGGACTTACTGAAGGTAAAGGCTTTATTGCCGTTCATGTTCTGCTGATTGAATTCATCTTTTCGAGAGGGGCTATGGTCATTTTATTCCATGAGAGATGGACTAAAGGGTATTGCTGAAGGGTGTACTGTAGTTATTATAAGCTCTCCCCAACAGAACAATTATTCAAGGATAATTTGTGCCAAACATATCCACTCGGAAAATGAATCAGTACCATGTTTTAATGAATAAACATTCATTATTTCACATTGACCCTGAACCATTATTTTAAGAGAAGCTGTTCGAAGGAGTAATACTCAGTTGTTTTCCAAGATGCTAAAGAAAAACAAATCCGAAAGCGAAATGTGTTTGCAGTGCACAGATTCCTGAAAATGTTTTCCTTATGTAAGAATATATTTAATGACAAATAGTCATGGTCATTTAGTTATTTTCTCCGTCTTAAATTTTTATTTTATTTAACCTTTATTTAACCAGATAAAAAAACATTGAGATAAAATCTCATTTTCAATGCTGACCTGGCCAAGAAGGCAGCAACGTTACACATAACACATAACACAAACATATAAAATACAGAGAACATAAAGAAAACAAAAGACGAAAAAGAGATTTTATTTTCTCTAAAGCCATAGTTAAAAATAAAAAGGCAAAACTGAAACAAACATGTTTTTCAGAGGCTGCATATTTAGCGTTTTCCACATCCAGTTAACAAACATGACACACAGAATAAGTACAACACTGTGGATGCTGATTTGTTGTGGCTCTACTGTTTTTTTCTTGCCTTCAGACCGCAAGGAGCAGCTGTGGATGGAACTGAAAGCGGGTGCAGAGTCTGGTTGGGACTTCACATCCCGCTGGTATGTAGATCGTGATGGGCACAACAACGGCACCCTGGGGGACACCAGAACCAGCCAAATCCTGCCAACTGACCTCAATGCCCTGCTGTGCCTCACTGAGAAGACTCTTGCTTCATTTCACAGGATACTGGGTAAGTACTTGAGCATCATTTGACCTTGGCACTAACTTTTCTTTGCCTGCATAATTATTTTAGCCCCATACTGCTGTTACGTAATGATATGCTGTTTCCTGACAGGGGATGGTGACTCAGCCGCACAGTATGACCAGGCAGCCGCCCGCAGACTGGAGGCCATAGAGTCTTTGCTGTGGGATGCTGAGAGAGGAGCCTGGTTTGACTTCAACCTGGTGACACACTCCAAACACTTTGAGTTTTACCCATCCAACCTGGCACCTGTTTGGGCCCAGTGCTATTCTGGGCCTGAGATGGGAGAGAAGGCAGTACAGTATCTAAAGGTTGGTAGTAATACTTGGCTACATTGTGGTCGCAAATATGTTCACAAATATATTATAAACAATCAATAATGTTATTGGCCAAGTGTTTATCTGAAGGGTTGTTTCATCCAAATGACAAAAGATGCACTTTTTTCCAACTTATCTCATATGGTATCTACAGCAGCTATGGCCCACTGTATGTTTAGTTTCATTCAAACTTATTTAGAGAAATTTGTCTCTGAAATATTTGCTGTCACCTTAGCGTCAACATCCACCTCGGAAAAGTAAAGCCAATAGCCAGCAGGGGGAGTCTCTACTGGTTCCGAAAAAAGTCAGATTGTATAGAAGTCTATGAGAAAATGATCCACTTCTCTCTCGCGTCTCACATCGGTAAACATTTTTCTGACGAAGTTTATGGTCTAAAGCAGGGGGTTCCCAACCTTTATTGTGCCAAGGACCGGTAGATACATTAAAAAAAAATCGCGGACCGGTTGTCAATTTTAACTGATTTTAATATTTACTGTGTATGTAACAGCCTGAACAAATACTAGAACAATATGCATCCAAAACATATTAACAAAGTTTAAAAAAGAACCGGTGTTGTTTTTTGTTTTTTCGGAAAACCAAAAAACCGACGTTATTCAGTTTTTAAACCAAAACGGGAAAACAGATAAATCAACGTTTTGGTTTTGTTTGTATGATTTACGGATAATCGTGTGTGTGTGTGTGTGTGTGTGTGTGTGTGTGTGTGTGTGTGTGTGTGTGTGTAGTGTGTGTGTGTGTGTGTGTTGTGTGTGTGATGTGTGTGTGTGTGTGTGTGTGTGTGTGATGGTGTGTGTGTGTGTGTGTGTGATGTGTGTGTGTGTGTGTGTGTGTGTGTGTGTGTGTGTGTGTGTGTGTGTGTGTGTGTGTGTGTTGTTGTGTGTGGTTGTGTGTGTGTGTGTGTGTTGTGTGTGTTGTGGTGTGTGTGTGTGTGTGTGTGTGTGTGTGTGTGTGTGTGTGTGTGTGTGTGTGTGTGTGTGTGTGTATTTTGGGAACAGCCGCATATATGCCGGTGTCGGACAGACACAGAGCTGAGCAGAGCACACACACATCATGCCTGACTGGACATCTCCTTCATAAAACTAATAAAAGGGGGAGTAATCGGGCAGTTCAATGTGTGTAGATGTGTGTGTGGTTAACACGTAGCAGCCTGCAGTCACTCTTAAACTGTTCTGATTAAGTTAAACACAGCGAAGGCGGTGCGTAAAAAGGCACAGCTCTTTACCGAGTATACGTCCCGCTGCCTCCTGATGTTGCAGCCATTTCATGAAGTGAAGGAGGGTTTCCTTCTATAAAACAGCTGCGGGCAGCAGATCGTGAGAGTCCCGGACATTAATTCATAGATCAAGGCAGACTGGTTTACTCTCCTGTTTTGCCAATCCGGTGCTTAAACAAATAGCTCTACACCCCTGGCCGACATGTCCAGACTTAAAATGAAGTCCGAGTTTGAAATATATCTCAAATAATGTATGCACCACCATTTCCCCACATAAACATAACAGTCTGCAATCAAACGGTTGTCTCCTGTTCGCTCCTCTTCCTACTTGGCGCACCGGTAACATGCTCGTGCGCACAAGAGGCTGAGACCTTAGGCTGAGCCGCCGAATCCCTCGGAACATCATAAAAGCCATTTTCAACGGTTTTCTGGTGAAAGATTAACTAGCTACTGGATGAAATAATATGACTGGTGGCATAGGTGCGAACAAATATTATGATAAAATATTTTTATATATTTATAATTCTGCAAATATTACGATAAACTCACAGCTATTTCGCGGCCCGGCAGTAACACCTCCGCGGCCCGGTACCGGTCCGCGGACCGGGGGTTGGGAACCCCTGGTCTAAAGCACTGGTTTCAAGTCGATGTTCATTTTGTAAATAATGGTCCCATTTAGAAAACAAGATAAGTGTTAAGCAGAATGGTAATTTTAGCTTGTGGCTACCTTGTGATTCTCAGGTTGCTATTACGTTGTAGTTCGTGTTTTCAGTTCATGAAAGTACATTTTGACATTTTGCTCCCCTAAAAATATTTTGTTTTTGTTCTACCCTCTTTTTGTCACTTCGAATCCTAAAAACCAAGTTGGCATTGAAAAAAATGCCTGAACTAAAATAACAAAACTCAACGCTGTGTCGGTGACTTTGTATGTCGATTGAGATAAACGTAACGTCATTTCGATCTCTCTGTCTGTAAACACAAACTGAGTAAGATTGACATTAAAGTTGACTTTGACTTATCAGGAACAATTCCCTTGTTATCTTCAACGCAACCCTTTCCCATCCTACCCTTGCATTGGTTTATCATCCAGGATCTTGACAAATGCATTCAAAACTGTGACTAGATACCAATTGGTGTTAGTAGGAAAATACATTATGGGACCACTTTATTAGGTGCAGCTGTAATTTAGTTTTGTGTTTTACTGAGGCTATAATTAAAGATGGTGTGTAATGGACTTCACTATATTGAAAGGTGCTTCTCGTTGTGTGTCCTCCCTATTTAAATACACAAGGGTGCAGGACATTAGAAAACTTAAAACCCTTGAATATAATGAAGTCCTGTATAATTACATCAAAGTGTTCTCACACCTTTTTAAACATCAAATTCAAGGACTTTAAGGACTATACAGGCAACATTCTTTCAAATTCAAGGGCCAGACATGGCATTGTTTGTGATAGGGATGCTTTTATGAGATCTAGATGCTCCTTTTTAATGTAGCTTCATTGTGTTTTCATGTAAATGTATTTTAATGTGTCCTGTCTGCATGTGATGCGTTTTAATGTACTCTTAATATCAGGTAATATGAGATTTGGCACATGCAATACAAATAATAATGTCTTCCTTTTCCATGCAAAAAGTAGAAATGTTTTCCAAAATCTATTCTAAGTATGTATATATGCCATTTGTGTGAAAAAACCCTTTAACCCGCACATACTATACATAAGCCCATATCAAACTGCAAACATAATTTTGCTATGGTAAGATGGTGGTGTGATTGTTTCCCTCAAAGAACAATAAATGTGATTTCATATTTCCTAATATACTTTTCTGAATTACTTATGTACATTTGTTATTTTTTTATTTCCTTTTTATTTTTTTCAGCCATGAATCCTGACTGCTAAGAAGCCCACCTCGTAGGACATTACACATGCCTTATAAACTGCTCATGTCCTCCAGCAGATGGCACACACACTGCACTGGTTTAATCTATGCATGCTCTCATGGTTGCTGTTTTTCTCAATGTGTGTACAGAGCAGCGGTGCTCTCCAGTTCCCCAATGGAGTTCCGACGTCCCTGAGAGAGTCTGGGCAGCAGTGGGACTATCCCAACGCATGGCCTCCTTTGCAACACATGCTCATCGAGGGTAGGTAGCAGTTCATTGATTTGCTGCTAACCTTCTTGAAATGTGTAATAAATCTTATCCAATTGTTCCACTAGTTCTGTTTTTTTTTGCAGAATCATTTCTAAAGAAGCACAGCGGTTTAAGGTCTAATTTGAAGCTGCTTACACCCACTCCCTTAAACATCTAATCACTCCAAAGTTATAATTATGCGAGTGTTGCCTACATGCATTGTTTGTGTTTTTGAAGTCTAACAAACATGGTTTATGCATTTTCCCCTCTCATTGAACACTTGAAAAAAAAGCCTATTTTCTAGAAATGTTGAGCCCTCATACATTTTTGTATTGGTTCTCCCTTTCCTGTAGTGTGTTATATTGTTTTTTGTGCATGTAAATTGTCTGCAAAGGCTAAAATCCCAAAGTTATCCCGCCCCGCCTGAACCCCTCCATTGGACTCCTTTGTTCACTTCTGTGTCCTAGTGATATCATTATGTAACACTCGCATTTCTATTGGCTAGCGCTCCAGCACATTAGACGTGATAGGCTTAGGGGTGGGACATCTCCAAGCAGTGGACCAATAACAACAGAGCCAACCTGCTAACCAATCAGAGCAGACTGTGCTCTGGTTTCAGACAGAGGGTGAAAAGAGGTGCTGCAGAATGAGAAAAACCTCATACCTTTTTGAACATTAAAGCATGGAAACGTGCCACAGTAGAGGCACAAAATACAAATCTGAAGATTAGCCAAAATGGCCTCTTTAGTCCAGCACATTGCTGTGTTCCTTAGTATGTTACCCCCACCTGTCTATCAATGGAATAGTGTGAATGTTTATGAATGTGCATCATGTCTGCATCTGCAATTACCCGGTGCAAACATAACATGGATCCATAGTTTAACCATTGGTAAAAACTCCACAGAAAGTAATTGGGTTGGTTACATAAAGTCTTTATGCTTAATATTTGACCTCAAACCAAACCACCCACAGAGATCAGCAGACACTTGATATCTGCTGTGCTGATGCTCTGCCAGGCCTGTTCTGCATCCAGCTCCACTGCTTATTTAGTGAGATGTTTGCCTTTGGTCTTGTCTGTGTGACACATGATCAGAGAGTAGCTTGAGTTCTGGCGCTAAAAACTTCTTGGTTGCTTAAATCTGTATCGGAATGACTGTCCTGTAGATTTCTTTATGAAACTCAGGCAGAAAAGTTTACCATGCAATCCCAGCCAAAAGGGCCATGACAAGAAAAATAACCTTAATGCTGAGTTAGCTAGTTGGGTCTGTGTTTAATGGAAACACTCTTGTATTTCCAGGTTTATCCAAACTGCCTTCAGAGGATGCTAAACAGCTAGCATTTGATTTAGCCCAGCGTTGGATCAAGACAAACTGGCTTGCATACATGAAGTATGAAGCCATGTTTGAAAAGGTGAGTCTTATAAATGAATATCCTCGGTAAGTGCTATGTTGACTGAGAAAGCTGTGTACGCCCAGGAAATATAATAAGAAAAAAACATGGAGTAATTCTAAATGGTGTGAACCAAGCTGGCAACAACTCTTTTACAGCTTCGCTCATACCATTTTCACAATAAAAGGCCAACTTAAATTCACTTAGCATTTTGCTTAGCGACAACAAAAAAGACTTGCTCACAATAGGCAACGTACATCATACTTATATGCTCTTTCGACCCTGCTGGTGTTGGTGTTTGTTTGCAGTTTATATTCAGGAGCTTCAGGATTCATCAGCACAACTCGTCCAAGTGAGAAGTCAAACTTTCACTCGAAGCAAAACACTCCGTAGGCGACAGCATCCAACAAAAACAGCCCAATCCATTGAAGCAGAATGATTTGGTTCTTTAGCCTTTGGAGCGCAATTTGAGCAAATGCACCACCATTCAAAGTTCTCTCTCTGCACCTCAGGTACAGGAGGCTCCCTGCCAGACATTTCCTCCTAACTGCAGCCGCAACTTCGGGCTCTCTACGCTGCAATTATTGGGCGAATAAATACCTCTGCACTCTTTTTGGCCTAACCTTTCTGTTTAAGTGTTTGCAATACAATGGGAAAAAAATAGGTTATATTTTTCAACTGCTTCCACAGCATGCCCCCTGTCTAGAAAACAAAGCTGAGTGTAGTTTTTCCCCTTTTTCTAACTATGTCACTGTAACGTCACATGACTGCTGGATGCAGCATAAAACAACAGATTTTAGACGTAGAATCCAGCTTTCCCTGTTAAAATACCACTCACTGAGGAATCTATTGCTTCAATTGAAATATCCATCATGCCTGATTGTACATCCACGTAAAATGTGGCGGATTTCTCCAAATGTGTCACAGCATGTCAGCGCTTACGTAGCACGGTGATAACACAGCTGCCTGGCTCAGAATGTGTTTCCTTCCTCCCAACACAGTATGATGTGAATGGCGACGGCAAACCTGGTGGTGGAGGCGAATATGAAGTTCAGGTATTTTCTTTCATGTGCTGAGGGTGTAGAACGAATGTGCTTATAGTCTGTCTCATTTCATGCACAGCCCTGCTAATTCTTTCTACATTTGCATGCTCATGTACACGTATACTCCTCCTCACTTCTTCGTCATTATCATCTTCTTTATGTGCAATCTTCTACTCTGTTGGGTGTTGATTTCTACTTTACATTTTGTATTAGCATTTCCTTCAGACAAATTGAACATTTGTTTTATTTCTAAGTGTCTAAATACAAAATGAATGTGTTGCTCATGCTTCACTGTGTTGCTGTGTGTGTAGCTTGGTTTCGGTTGGACCAATGGCGTGGCCCTGCAGCTCCTGGACCAGTACGGGGCCACTCTCACCTCAGCAGGCAGCCGAGTGTTGTCTGGCCTCCTGCTGCCGCTGGTCATCTCAGCCACTGTCATGCTCCAGTGAATCAGAGGTGACAAAAAAAACAAAACCTGACTGGAGGTTGGATTTTATTACCCTCGACAAGGAGGTTATGTTTTCCGTTTCGCTTTGCTTGTCAGCAGGATTACAGAAAATCTACTGGCCCTGAATTCTATAAAACCCAGTGTAATGGTTTGGCATGATCAACCAAAGATCAACCATTACAATTTGGAGCAGATTGGCCTTTGCGAAGCTCTTTGCTCTCTGAATTATTTCTGATTTCACTGCACTACATCACTCCTGTGTTCCTGAAAACTTCAAACACACACATTAAAAAAAAAAGACTAAATTGTGAATATTTTATTTTAACAAGATTTTATATTTTGCAAAATCATATATAATCGGGAGGAAACTGGATATGATTTTTCATAAACTAAGAATTCCTTTGATGAATATTTTAGTATTTATCCTCAGAGGTAAATGATCTCTGGAAACATCAGAAGATGCAGATCATGTCGGCACTTCTGGACTCTCTCCGGCAGGCTGTTACTGCTCGCTGCTGCTCGGATTACAACATTAATTCGTCCCAGATATTGAACCGACATTACCAACAGTTATTGAACCTAATTCAATTATAAACTTTATTGCTGGTACTGCAGCTTAACTCACTCTGATGCATTTTTATTTGCATGCAAACTAGAGTTGGAATAAGAACAAGATCGTGTGAGCAATAAAATGCAGAGTGAAAACATTTTTTCTATTATTCTGTTTTATGTTTTTATGTCTTCATGTGGAACCTACTTGCAAGCAGCTCTCCCTTGAAAAAGAGATCGATGATCTCAATGGGATTCACCTGGTTAAATAAAGGTTTGAAATTGATGTTTAAAACATAGCAGTCTGTATTATGTTGGATTCCTTTAGACACTTTTAATACATATTTACAAATCAACCAAGCATTTCCTGATTACAATGCTGGTAATCTAGTGTTGGCAGTGTATACAAATTCATAACTGTCTTTGGCAGGATTGTATCTTCCTACGCACCCCTCGACCAAGAGCTTATTAGACAACACTCAATACAACATTGCATAAAATGAACCATGTTTTTCTTATAGTTTGATGCAAAACACAACACTTCTGACCACAATAAAACATATATTTCCTGTGGCTAGCAGTAGGATGTTTGGTCTGCCCATTTCCACAATTAAAGAGTTGAGCATTGTGGGTAATCGTGTTATTTCTCCTTAAACTCCGGTCCTCAAGACAAAGCTCAAACGTCAAAGATTTGGAAACGTTATGAAGGAATTGAAAATATTTTATTGTAACATACAGTTTATTCAAGGGACAAGAAATAATTTAGAAGAACAACATATTTACAACCGTTTATATGAGTGTATAATCACCTGAACTTAGTCATTGTGTTATCTTTAGCTTAGAATTAGCACTTAATATCTACATAGAGAGCAGGCCCTCTTCAACACAATCACGTTTCTACAGTAGCCCACAAGGGACAAACCAAACTCTGGCTCTGTTTGTTTGTAGCCTTTATTTAACCAGGTTAAAAATCCCATTGAGATCAACGATCTCTTTTTCAAGGGAGACCTGCGGTACGTTAAAGAGCCTTTCTCACTTTAACGTCACCTGAAGGCTAGTTGGTTGCAATCTTCACCCTGGACCCTACGCACTGAAATAAGAAACAAAGAAAAGTCAACATTCATGCCATCCCTGATTGTTCCCTGCAAATCATTCTGTCTTTGGCATTTCTGCTTACATCAATAGGGAAATGCAGGTCAAGCATGAAATTAAGTCCATATAGATATTCAAATGGTTTTCCAAAAAAAGTAATGAGAAATGTGCTTCTTAAAGAAGAACATGTATCCCTCTTGGCTGTGAAGATATGACGCCTAAGCAGGGATTTCACGGCATCTCTCCCTTTAGCATGAGTGCACACAACAGATTGACTGTGCAACTTAAATGGGCAAAAGGCCAATAGGTGCAGTGGTCCGTGCAACCCCAAATATCACACTCTAATAATGTGCTATTTCAGTTCTCCATCTACAAGCCCTATCATCATCTTATATTTGTTATCTCCATGCATAACTGTTCCACTCACACAGTGGCAGCCGTGTGTATAATGCTGTTTTTATAGAGGTTTAAGCAGCAGGCAGCAGTCATTATGTTTTCAGCCCTCGCTGACAGCAGTAACTCAAGTAGAACCTGCTCCTTTTGATAACTTGCACATTACCATAACGTTTTAGCAGAAATGTGTTGTGTTCAGTTAATGAGATGGAGCTGTAAAGGGTGGCATAAGTTGTCCGGCAGTTAAGTGACGTCGAGGTGAAGCTACAATATGTTTGTGTGTGCCTGTTTTTAATTACACAAATCTGAGGATGTTATTCTGAGCAGCGAGTTCCATGGGCGGTCCATGAATTGTAGAGCAGCAGTGACAAGTGCATTACATGTTGTTGAGGAAGTAAAGGTCAGGGTGTCTTGTCCTCAACAGTCATCCAGTAACTGCTGCTGCATACAAACTAGATTACACACACACAACTTCTTCTTCAGAAAGGGCATCACATTTTAGATTTATGAGGCTTTATGGAAAATGTATTTAAGAGATTACAGAGATTACATTAAGATATGTTAATAAGTAGCTGCTATTTGCTAAAGAGGCTGTTTCTGTTATTAAAGGGACCATATTCTGCTTATTTTCAGGTTGGTATTTGTATTTAGTGCCTCTGTGACATGTCTCCATACTTTAATGTTCAAACAAGTCTTTATTTTTCTCATACTGCCTGTGCTGCAGCACCTCTTTTCACTCTCTGTCTGAAACCAGAGCCCAGTCTGCTCTGATTGGTTAGCTGGGCGTCTCTTTTGTGATTGGTCAACTGCTTATGTCACACCCCTTAGCCTATCACGTACAATGTGCTGGAGCGCTAGCTAATAGAAGCGCGAGTGTTACATAATGATGAATACTGGTATCTCTAGAAGTATTCTTTTCTGTATCGACCTCTGGCTTAGACTTGTCTAAAAAAAAAAAAATGGCTATGGCAGTCCATGATTTCCATGACGACAATAGGATGCAGGATTGTTTGCAGGAATGTGGGAAATCTTATCAAACAGCTATGAAAAGTAGGTGCATAGGACAAAAGTATAGGTTAATTGTATCTCTGGATGTCTGTAGCTTTAGACAGAGGCCAGACCTTCATTACTGTCCCCTGGCTCAGTCTTCACTCGCCTGCAGCACACATCACAAAGACTGCTCGTTATCCACTGAGTCCTCCTGCTGGCCCTGAGTCCCGCTCGCTGCTGCAGGAACCCTGCTCTGCACTGCCGGGATAATCCCTGCCCCACCCACCTACATCCCTGCAGTCTGTGAAACTCCACAATTGGGATGTCGTAGGCTGATCCTGTCCTCTGATGAACAATCAGAGAGCCAGAGAAGTTTCCTTCGCTCTCACCGACTCCCTTTCAATATGCTCTAATCGATAGCTCATCGAGGGATCATGCCGGTGTTCCTGTGTAATGTATTTCCCTAATTATGACCGTAGTTCGCCTGTAGCTTAGCAGCTAAATTGTTTGGAGAATAGGCCAACTCCTTGACCTCTAAACTGGAAGGATTGGCTAACTGGAGGGATTATCCGGATAGATATGAGACAGCTTAGTAATATTGATTCTGCACAGTCCGGAGATATCAGGCCCTTTTTTTAATCAATAACTCTTGAGAATTCGCGGCAATATAATTCTCCTGCTCAGGATGGGATTTTAATAATCCCATTTGATGGAAGGAAAAGTGATCAGTGACAGAAAATGTGATAATGTCTCAGCTGATCTGCACCCTTAAACTCTAGACTAGGATGAATCTCTCAAAAAAAGATAACGTATCAACAATATTTCACCTTGCCTATTCATTTCACAAGTTTTTTTATCCCTTTGCAAGGTTTGTAGTGGGCTCTTATATTTTCTATGACATTGTTAAATGCAGCTATGGATAGATTATGGCTTTGTTTTTGAATAAATGTATCTACTTGAGTTTCGTAGAAGGACATTCCATTGAAATCAATGTAGAAGGATGGTCAGAGTGACCATGTGTAATGTTACCCCTTTAGCGGGCTAGCTTAGGTATAAAGTAGACAGACTCACTGATAAATCGTTTCACAGTAACAAATAAAACGAGCAGTAGTATAGTTTGAGTAAAGAGTACATTTAACAAGTTCATATATCTACACACCCTTGAGCAGGAGTTTTTAGCAGTATCAAAACATGGCAGAATTAGCAAGAGAGCTAACTAGCGGGCAGCTTGTCCGTAGCTCCAGGCAATGTGTACTGCCATCATAACAACCAACAACCATTTACATTTTATTTTCTTATCAAATGACCATCAAAAACCGAAATTCCGTTTTACTCCTATTGATAAGGGGGGGGGGGGATAATGACTTATCATTGTACCTGATAAGTCTAAGAAGCGGGACATCTCTAAGCGGTTGACCAATCACAACAAAGAAGCCCAGCTAACCAATCAGAGCAGACTGGGCTCTGGTTTCAGACAGAGGGTGAAAAGTGGTGCTGCAGCACAGGCAGTATGAGGAAAATAAAGATCTTTTGAACATTAAAGCACAGAAACATGTCACAGTAGAGGCACAACATTCAATTATCAAACCTGAAAATGAGGATCATTTGGTCCCTTTAATACTCACAAATCGACAGTGCGGGCACAAGCAACTCTACATCCTTCATCACATTTTGAGTCAATATGTAACAGATCTTTTCCCAACTGTGTCTTGTGCACACCAGTAAGAAAAAAAACGAACAAATTCACAAAGATCTCTAAGAGGCTCATTAAGAAGGGCATTGGGTATGTACAAATTAGGTGAATCTATCTTTTAAAAATCAGGAAAATACATTTATTTTCCTGAATAACAAACCCTTTTTTGCTCTCATGTTTCTGGTTCAACTGTTCCCCTTGGTTCCCTTTTGTGGATATTTTCCAGACATCTCAGAAGGATGAGCACACAGTTTGACTATTTGATGTCCCTCCTCCCGTTCAAAACATGAAGGAACTGTTACCCAAACGTGCCACTGCGAGGCGGCAGAGCTCTTTGTTGTATTGGATGATACGCCTTGTTCTCCCAGTCATGCTATTTCGTTCTTGTGGGCAAACAATCAATAAGAACACCGAACACCACAACAGCCTATCACCATTTGCAGTGTGGCACAGTGTCCTCTCCTGCTGCTGGCTTTCACCAGACGCTTAACACGGTGGAAGAAAAACAAATCACATTC